CCTGGTTCGCGTCTCGCTGGAGGATGCCCTTGGCAGAAGGCCTCCATGGATCCGTTCGTGGATCCTTGTAATCTGCTGGCTGCCGGGCTGCGAGACTTCGTCTACTTAGCAGCTGCCGACACCAATTCCGAGTGTTCGGCTGGGACTGGCGGACTCCACATCGACATCGACCCGGCGGAGATCTCTCTCTCTCTCTCTCTCTCTCTCTCTCTCTCTCTCACTCTCACTCTCACTCTCTCTCTCTCTCTCTCTCTCTCTCTCTCTCTTATCCTACACCCCTGAACCCTAAACCCTATTAATATTAGCATAAGTAAGAAGCAAGAGCGCAAACATCATTAATACAATGCACTTACAATAGTTCGTTCAGGGGCTGGGCTTCTTTCCCGGGCTTTCAAGTTTGGTTTCGGGGTCTTTGGGACTGATCTTGAAGCTCTGTTTCAGTAATTTAATAATAATTCCGGTTTAGGGTTTAGGGTTTAGGGTATGGGCACTCCCCCCTAAGTCGCCCACTCGCAAGACCCATAAGATCCGCAAGATGCATCCAAGCAATAATTGCAGGCATAATGTAATAAATGTAATTTACTCGAAAGTTGCAACCGAAACAAGGCCAGTAAGACTCAGTTAAGATTCTCCTTCTTTGCTCAAATCTGCAAATCTGAGTCTTTGGAAGTAAAGGAGTGGCACCCTCGTAGCCAGACCTTCCGTAAGTTCCTCTGCCCAGATTCAGCACAAAAGCAAACCCTAAACTAGCTAGTAAACGACGATTATTATTACTACTAGTACTTAATAACTAGTGCTACTACTACGACGACGACTACTACTCCTGACTGTCTTGAAGTAACGAATGAATGCATATTTCATAATAACAATTTTTAATACAGTAAGCTTCCGGGTCTTGCATATCACCACGCTTGCAGGCGGAGACTCCTGCGAGAGTTTCCTGCCCTGCTGATTACACTGGTCTGGCCAGAGTCCTCCTGCCGCGAACCCAGAGTGCGACCGGTCACAACCGCATGCACGCACAATTTATTAATAAACTATTAAGTTGTATAGTAGCGCCCACCCACATACGCAAACGTAAACATACATGCACGCTTGCGCCTGTACGCATCTGCGAGCATAGAGACGGTGTGCGGATGCTTATTCAAGTCAATAGTTGAAATGATTAACTCACCTGCGCTGGATCGATGCTCGCAGCTTTTGCGATTGTCCTTGGTTTCCACATTCTGATGTATAGTAAGCCAAACCAATCCAATCAGACACAGTCAGACACTAACAGGTGCCGGTTCCACCGGTCTATCCTGCAAGAGACCTACGTCGCTTGCAAGGTCTGCCCGCCTCCTGTTGGATTGTTTCGGCCAGATTCAGAAACGACACTGCAGGGAAGCCTGTTTGTTTGCGATGAGGTTGTGAGAGATGAGAAATTGCACCGGCCCAGCCGTCATCACTGCCGGTGACATGTCCGGCTCGATAGCAAGTAAGAGAAGCCTTGAAGCATCTCAGTCTTGGATAATTTTGTTTCCTGCTGGCCGAGCTTGCGCAGCCATGGCCCCGAAGAAGAGCTGCATCCAGTCAAAAACCAAGGCAGTGCAAGAGAAGGCGCTTTCGAAGGAGAAGAAGCTGAAAGTGTTTTGTCTGCAAGCAAGGCGTCTACACTTCAACCTTCCGACCCCCCTTAACTTTAAACATATGATCCCATCAATCAAGCTAATCACATGTCCGAATATTCGTGAACTGAGGACAAGGCGGAGGAAGCCTTGCGCAAAGAGCAGAAAGCGAATCTTGAAGCGCAAGAGAACAGACTGATCACGATGAGGCAGGAGCTCGATGCGTGGTTTGCCCTACGGCCGAAAGCACTGGAACACATCCATCGGGGCTTCAGTCGCTGAGAATTTTAGTTTTTCGTTTTTTTGGGTATGTTTGGGAAAGAAAAATAGTACTGTGAAGCTTTAGCGAGCTAGGTTCTTTAAATTCAGTTGAACTTGAGTGAAATGACTGACTGTGATTCATTGTCTTTAGAGCGCACGTGGCATAAAGGTATGGGAAGCTTTGATTCGCTGGACTCCGGCAAGATCGTGGGCGACGACGACTCGTCGGAGCAGAAGCTGAAGCCCTACATGAACAAGTTCCGATTGCTTGGGCAAGAGCAAACGCGACCGCTGCTTTGCAAGATGATTCCCAAAGTGATGTCGTTCTTGGACAAACAGCAGAAGAACTTCAGGTGCAAGATAGAGCGTGCTTTCCTGGCGACCCTGCTCGCGTAGCTTGGCTGTGAATCAGTAGTACATGTAAAACAATCTTTCATTCAAATCTTCTTTGCCTCTGCCGAAGCAAGACAAGTGCAAAACACCTCACTCGCCGTAGGTTCATCACTCACTGCGACGTCAACAGCGCGTTGCCGAGCAAGAGCATGGTCGCGCTTGAGGACTTCATGATGAAGCGCTTCACAGACTACGGCAGCCGGCTAGAAACCTGGGAGCCACGGGGGCCAGAGACGACCTTCCAGGACCTACTCGTTTAACCCGCCTAAGTAAGGCATCCTGCGGCAACATCGTGATTTTCCGCCGCCTGTTCATTGCTCAGCCTCTTAGGCCCAACATGCGGCTGGGGTCGTGAGTCCAAGTCAGTGAAAATTCAAGTTGAATGAATTCGGTTTAACCGTTGCCTTGTTTGTCGGATCGGTTGGCCTTAAATTCACCCAAGCCCAAGAGTCCGCGTTCTCAAGGAGTTCTGTGACGATCCCTCCTGCAGCTACTGGAGGCTGGAGAAGCAGGACGACGGCAAGAGTCAGTTGCGGTACATGCAGACCGACTTGATGTTTAAGCTTCCGCCGGAGATGCAGAACATCGACAACATCAAGGTCATGTGCGCAAGAAACTTCAACACATCCTTGAGTTTCTCAGCTGCAATGTGCGAATCTTTCAGATCAAGTTATCTAAGCACGCGCTTCTCTAGTTCTCTCGTCTATTCAGAACATGTTGAAACCACTTCTTCCAACTCAATTGTTCGTTGCATAGCAATTCCGTCAGGTGCTGGGTTGGTGGACATCTCGGTGTGCAAGATCCTGAATTCCGACATCAACGAGGGCAAGACCTTGCCCGAGAGCCCGTTCTTTCTGAAGGAGTGCCCGACGGGTTCCTCCCCCGAAGCCGGTTCTGGTGATGGCAAGAAGACGAAATCGTGGCAGGCGAAATCGGAGACTGCGCTTCAACCGGCAGCTGGGAACGGCAAGAACACTCCCCCGCGGACGCCGAAGCGCAAGATCAATTCCAAGTCGTCGCCTAGCAAGAGTCCGAAGACCCTCGCCGGATCGCCCGTCAGCTCGATCAAGTCGCCAGCATCAGGAGGGCGAGGATCGCCAAAGTAAACTTGACTGAGATTGTTTCAGGGGCAAGAACACAGAAGAAGCATTATTATTTTTAACATAAAAAATGCATCGCTGAAAGTTGGTGTCACATGCTTTTGTGTTCTCGGGTTACCCCTGCTTCTGAGTCTTCCGAGACTGTAGGTCAGAGAGCAGGGAAGTATTTCAAGAGCGCCCCGGCCTGACTCTGCCGATTTCCGCTGCCGCTGTTGCTGAAGGCAAGAAATTTTAATCGAGTCCTCGGCCGCTGAACCTGGCAAGTTTTGGCGATCAACCGCCTTGCCGGGCCGTTTGCGATAAAACGCTGCCTTAGTCACTGGCCGCAGAAGTCGCAAGAGAGAAAACGGGTTGCCAGAGCAACAAGCCTTTTGACGCACCTCATTTGTGATTTTACACTCCCGCCCGCCAGGATTCTGCACTTCCTGGACCTGCACTGAACGACTGTCGGGCCCTGGCAAGAATTTTTGCTAATGAGCCAGAGTAACGCAAGAAACTCCGTATTTTTGGAAAGACATTCGCAGGAAATCCCTGCAAGATGCAGAGAAAAAGGCGTGGCAAATCATCATCATTTCATCTCGCTGACATATAAACTTCACAGACTATCCGGGGTGTAGTGTCGTAAATTCTTATTGAAGCTTTTAATATACTTGGGAATTTTAACAACATATCAGAACTTTATCTTGTAACCGAACAACCCACGAACCCCTCACGAACCCCCAAAACGTTCGCAGAAGTTCGCCGAAGGGTTTTTGAAAAAACGAACTTCGTCGAAGGGTCAACCTTTGCCTGACAGACCGTTGCCCCCTTCTGCGTTCCCCTCAAATAGGGTTTTCGACTATACTTTAATTATAGTAAGGAACACCCAAAATGGGATAGGTAATTATTAAGGCCCATATATAAGACCCTGAAGCACGAAGCTCTTTCGTAGAGGAGCTGACAGAAGGCGACATGTTGTTCTCTCATAACCTTATGCTGTCACCGGGACATCAATCCCGACACACCATTCTCTTTGTTTTTAGGATGTGAAGTATTCCCAAGCGCACACCCTCTCTCTATACATATTTAAACCTTCCCTGAACTCTGAACCCTAAACCCTAAACCCCAAATCCTAAACTCTAAACCCTGAACCCTCAACCCTGTAAACCTTCCACTTGGAGGTTCATGTGTAGTTATAAGTGGAGGCTAGTTATACTCTTATAATTATAGCCCATGTCAGGGGACTTATAACCCCACTATAATTGCCTCCAAGTACCCTCTAAGCCCTAAGCTCGATTTTTTTTGTTTTGGTTGGCACGAGCGCATTTTGCTGGAGCCAGGCCCCGCAACGAGTTCTTGCCGACTGGACTCTCGGTGGATTCTGGTTGGGGTTTAGGGAGTTTAGGGTTTAGGGTTTAGCGTGGCTTGGAGCAATCATAGATGGCCGGGAACAAAGCAGCAGCAAATGTAGACTTAAGGACATGCAACAAAACAGCCGACAAACCCTAAACCCTCAAGCCCTCAAGCCCAAAAGCATTCAAGCCCTAAAGCCCAAAAGCCCCCAAAACGCCCCAAAACGCCCTGAAGCGCTGAAGCCCTCAAGCCCTCAGCTCGAAACCAAGGATTCTTCAAGTTTGAGCTGAACCGTGAGTTAGAGCAGATGGGCGTCAGCGTCAGCGAAGCGCAGCGCTCCCTGCTGGCTCATCTGCGGAAGTGGCTGCGGGCAGACAGACTCTACGATGCTTCGAAGTGCTTAGGAGCAGTTGAAGCTTTAGGGTTTGGGGTTTAGGGTTTAGGGTGCCTCGAAGTGCTTGGGAGAAGTTGCAGAAGGAAGCTTAGGTCTTTTGTGTGATAAGTCCAAGTTTTGTTGAATGTGGTGTTTGGGTAGATCTCAGGACGAGAAGAAATGGGGGGCGGCGCGGCTGATGGGGGACAAGAAGAAGTGGCTAGCCGTGTATGACATCTTGAAGACCAGCCACGTGTACAGCTGCAGCCTTAGCGACTATCGGGGACTGAAACTGGGTGCCCCAGTAGTACTATTTTGCCCCTCTTATTTGGGGGGTTTCTTCTTATTGTAAGAGAATCATGGCAAACAGTGCATGCTTGTATGAAAGGGAGCACCGGCCCAGGAAACATCTCATCCAGAAGCTCTCCCGGTCGGAGCGCTTACCCGACAGCAGTAGCCTCGAAGCGCTTCTGCTCTTGCGCTGTGCTTGGACTCTAGCGGATATCTTCGACGAGAAGGCCGGTTTAGGGTTTGGGCTTAGGGTAAAGGGCTTAGGCTAAAGTTAAAGGGCTCGGGTTACAGGGCTGATAAGCAGGCGGACAGATTCAAGCTCTGGGCGAAGCTGGCCTATGCCGCCTTGCTGATAATGGGCGTCATTGCTTCTCGATTGCAGGCTCATGAAAGACATGGTTTCGGGTTTAGGGACTCTCCAGGCTGCATTCAGTGGTCTCCGGCGCGATGAGAAGTTTTTCTTCAGGCGACAGGAACCTACATAGCTGAGAAAGTAGTGATGTTTTAGGCAAATATGGAGTTCACTTGGATAAACCTTCTCGCATGACAGTCCTTACAAAACCGTGCGCAAGACTTTGATGCCTAAACCCGAAAACACTGAGGACCTTAGCTTGGCAAGGCTTGAAGCCTCACCACCCCTTGAGGGGTCATGCGGGAATTTTGGGTGGGACAAACATTCGTGTTGAATTCGTACATCCGCCCGCTCCCTACATTTCTGGTGGCAGTCTGGGGCTTCATGTCATTAGTATCATTGAACAACCCTAACCCTAAACATGCACCAGCATGGGTAATGGGTATCAGTCGCGCGGTTGTAATTGGATGTCGGGCTGAGTTTCTTGTTTGAGGCGGGCCCGTAAACAGTCACACAAAGGCACATGCTCGCAATATGTATGAGTGAACAGGGTTTAGGGCTCTTGCACCAACAACACGATGCACAGCAAGAACTGCGTTGGAAGTGCAGTCAGGTTGTCTTCTTCACCACCGCAGAGTGGACAGCCGACCTGTCCACCGACACGAAGAAGTTCGTCGACACATGGCAACATCTAAGCATTGGGTTCTGCATTTGGCCCTTCAAGGGGCTTGAGGGGTTTTCGGGTTAAATGTGGGTTCGGGATGTGGTATTTCTTAACGGCTCGCAAGCCCTGTCCCAAGGCTTTCAGGTCTTCTCACAGGGTCAGGAGAACTCCATGCCTCTTCACCTCATCTATGCCGCCAACGGACAAGAGGACATTCCCTTAATGCTAAACTCAAACTGGGAAGTCCTACCTACGGACATTGCAGCTTTGAGTTGCAGAAGGATCCTGCAAATCATCATCATCATCATCATCATCATCATCGTCATCATCATCATCATCATCATCAGTCGTCGTCATCATCGTCAGTATCACCGTCGTGATCACCACCATTACTGTGAAATCATTATCGATGTTGTCTTGGCCCTGCAAAGCTATCAAAACTCATCCCAATGCCCAACTACGGCTGCAGCAGCTGATTGCGGCTGCCGGCGAATGCTAGAGCTGCTACTCTACTGCTGCCACTGCTGCCACTGCCGCTACTACTCTGGCTGCGTCGGCTGCTGCTGCTACTACTACTACTACTACTACTACTGCTACTGCTACTGCTACTGCTACTGCTACTGCTACTGCTACTGCTACTGCTACTGCTACTGCTACTGCTACTGCTACTGCTACTGCTGCTGGTGCTCCTATCCTCAGCCGTGGTTTTTGACGGGTTTTCCCAGGTCCTGGGCCTCGGCCTGGGATCGAGTAGCCTGGCGGCTTGGGTGACGTTCACGGACCCGGGGAAGTGCCCCAGCTGTATGGGTTTAGGGTTTAGGGTTTAGGGTTAGGGTTTAGGGTATGCTCTGTTGAAGGTGCGGGGGGGTAGGGATTTAGAGTTTAAGGTTCAGGGCTTATGCTTTACAAAGTTCTTAGTTCTTCGGTGGGGATTTTGTATCTGCTGTTCCTGCCGGCAAGCTCGCCTTTTTCACCGTTCGACTCGTTTTGCTTTCTAGCCCGGTCTGCGTAGCAGCCGCATGTGGGTGTCTACAGGTATCTTTATAGAGAATCCGTTTGTTTCGGGTTGGGTGTGTGGATGCGCTTTTGTTGGGGCGCTCTAGGAGGAGCCTTATTTTGCTGGTGTGTGTGAGGCCGCAAAACGGAGAAGGTACCGAAGCATTGATGTTGGGAGAGTTTGAAATGGAGATCAGGGATCCGAGCAAGCTCACAACCGAAAACACCAGACCCTAACCCACAACCAAGAACCCAACCCTAAACCCTAAACCTTTAGAACACCTGAAACCCCAAATCCTCACCAAACCTTTAAACACGTCAAACCCACCACAAACCTTAAATCCTAAACCCTAAGCCCTAACCGAAACCTTAAAACCCCTTTACTCACCACAACTTAAATCCTAAACCTTAACCGAAGCCTCAAAAAACCCCTAAGCCCACCACAACTTCAAATCCTAAGCCCTAGACCCGAACCGAAACCTTCAAAAACGCCCCCTAAACCATCCTAGTCCCAAGAGCTTGAGATGAGGAAGTGGCTGAAGCTCCGAGCGGGGTCAGAGATGCTACAGGCTGAGATATGGCGCTTCAGGTGCTCAGCGTCCGAGCAGGGTCCCTCTGAGTTCAGGGTTTTGGGGTTTAGGGTTTAGGGTTTAGGGTTTCCTTTAAAGGATCCTTTGAAGGAGGTAGGATAGGGTAGGGTTTAGGGTCTATAGGGATCTCGAAGTGTTGGGGGTTTAGGTGTACTGGAAGTCAGGGTTTAGGGCCTTAGCGCTTTGAGCGTGCAGATTTTCCGAAGCTACTCCCAGAACCCTCAACCCCGAACCCCGAACCCCAAAAACTCGAAGATGAACCCAGAATTCCAAAACTATAAGGGCCTTCGAAGAGGACTCGCGTCGGATCCTACGCGAACAACGACCTGACGCACTTCAACGTTGGGAGGGCTGAGGCCGTTTGGGCATTTTAGGACTGTGGACTCTGGTGGGTGTCCATTGGGGGACGGGGGTCAGGAGAGGTGGTAGCTTGTTCTGTCTAGGTGTTTTCACTTTTTGGGGTAGGTTTTTTGTTTCACTTTTCAGCTCTTCTCCTAGAAAAGGCAAGATCAGTCATGCCAACAAAGGCAGCAAGGACCACTGCCAATATCAGTTAAGTACCGATACCATTGTCACTCAGTACACACTACCAGTACAAGTGGACTGACCCTCCTTCTACCACTGCCACACAACCGAAACCACGACGACCGCTACAACTGGCAACCGGTCGAGGATTCTAAGGGGGTACTGCTCCTGCAGAGACTGCTGGGATGTTTTTCAGGGTTTCGGTATGGAGAGGTTTGGGTTTTGTAGTGAGATGAAAGGTGCATGGGGTTTCAGGCTTGTAGGGCTCAGCGGCGTTCACAAGGCTACAAGTTTCGGGGTGTTTGGGGTTGGATCTCACACATCTGCCCAGGCGGAACGCCGTGCCGAGCAGCTTTTCCAGAAGATGCTCGACTGAACTAAACCCCGGCTAAGGCCTGACGCCCTAAACACTAAGCCCCTAACCCCCCAAACCCCAAAGCCAAAACTCAAGACCCAGGGCCACTGCACTTAGATAAATCTTAAGATCAAACCCTAGACCCTCCGAAAGATTTGAGAAGTCAGGAAGATCTTCCTGGTGGCAGACACCGTGTTGGGTACCTCGGATGACAACATTTATGGAGTTTCAACAATTTGGAGCGTGGGGAGGGCGGGGGGTTAGGGGAGCGTCTGAATGAGTAGAATAGGTTTATGAGGTACATAATAGTCTAGCTATATCGCGATTACAGGTGCTGTTCTTTAATTCAGACCTTTGTATTGCTTGCTGCGCAGTTCTACCCATAACCGCAAGTCCTCAATCAACTAGAACTTTAGACCTTGACCCCAGCAGTAAACTCCATCTGCGAGCCCGCGTATGCTGACAGCACGATCCGGATCGTTACAGCACAGGCCGTGAATTCGGAATCGTAGCAGGTTGGACAGAGCGATTGCTTACTACACCGGACCTTAGACTCATGCATTTAAAGCCACAGCCCTAAACCAAAAACTCGGGTGGGCAGGTGCCAAAGTCCTCGTCTCCGCGAACACGACGACCGATGACGTGTGTATTCGGTTCGAGGGCACGCGCCAGCACCTCGAAACAATGATCCACGAGAGGCTGCGCCACCCGGCTTTAGTTCGAAGCTTTGGTTCAGGGTGGTCTAGCTGTCGTTGTCAGGTCTTATGCATTAAGGTCCAGGGTTTGGCTGGTTTGAACGGTACGGTCTGGCTTCCAAGCCTGGAGGGCTTGAGGGTAGGACTTGGCGGACCTGAGAGTTTGGGGTTTAGGAGGCCTTAGGGCAATGTGCGCCCTTAGAAAGCATGTAACCGACTATACCAAACATTATAACATATCCTAAAGACTATCGGAGCAGATAATGCACCTCGAACCACGATGTGTTTGACGCGAACCAAGGGTCATAGGCGGAGGACTCAGGGCTTTAAGATCTTGGGGTTCTGGTTTCGGGGTGGGTCTGCAGCATGGGCCGCAGGGAGTGATTCGGGTTCGGGGTGTAGTGATTCGGGTTTGTAGGTAAGGTGTGGGTCACTAGCTAACGCTCCTCTTCGGGTCTGGGCATCCGTCAACAACTCCCGTGCAATTCAGGCTCACTAAGCTGTAAACCCTGAACCCCAAAAGCCCAAACAGCGAGAGCTCGGCACTGTGACCTCGGATTCTTCCTCCAGACTAAGGCCTGCATCGGTTGACCTCTGCGCATTTCAGGCACAAGCAGTACCAGAAGGGGCAAAAGTCGGAAGCACCTCCGACGGGGAAGGACCTTGTTGCCTTCTTGGGGTTTAGGTATCAGCTTAAACTGGATTGTGCTTTGGAATAATTGTTAATTTCCCTTATTTCCCTATAAAGGGAACCTATCCACAACTAATTTCCAAAAGGGTTTAAAGCACAACCTAGTGAAGCTTTTGGGAGGACGCCATAATTGGGGGCATGAGTCGAACTGCTTTCTGAGAGGCTTGGGGGATTTAGGACTCGGATTCAGAAGCTCACGCGCCTCAGGCCGCCAAGGCGAGAGATCATCGAGCACTAAGAACTAATATAGTAATATAGTAAGATAGTAATATAGTAATATAGTAATATAGTAATATAGTAATATAGCAATATAGCAATATAGCAATATAGCAATATAGTAATATAGTAATATAGTAATATAGTAATATAGTAATATAGTAATATAGTAATATAGTAATTAGAAGAGGGTTCTGGGGCCCAGTATACCATAATTGTAATAAGGAGTCCTCAAAACAGGATAGGTAAATATTGAGGCCCCTATATGATTCCCCGGAGGACAGTCACCATGCACCGGCGAGCCCGGACGATTACATCACTTGGCGACTGAGTCCGCTCCTGAAGTTCTACCAGGATCGAATTCCTGTCTACATGTGGCGGCCGCTTGCCCTGAAATCCGGAACCCGGAGCCTGAGCCTCAGAACCCTGCACCTTTGCACCCAGATCCAAAATCCCGAACCCCCAGGCTTTGAAAGCCAAAACCCATATTTAATTACTGATGCCCCTGTATCACCGAACATAAGCGGTTAGCCTGATTAACTAAAGCAGCCTTTCCGCAAACCTTAAACCCTCAGGTCGCCTGAACTTACACTACAACCTTAGACCCTACTGTAGGCTCCTGAAGAAGCATGTACCCCACAGCCCTTTTCAATTCTCACGATCCTACGAAACCCAATCCATTTTGGCGTGACCCCAACGCGCCTCATCATTCAAGCCCTTTACTCTAAACACGGCCCTAGACCCGAAACCCTAAACCGTGACAGTGAGGCGCCTCATCATCCAAGCCCTCTTCATGATCGCCACGGCCCTCACCGCCGTCCTCTCTGCAGCGGATCAAACGAACTGGACAGCGATCGTCGTGAGCATCTCAAGCGCCCTGGGGTCGTGGCAGGAGCTCGGATGAGCCTTTTGAGAGTTTCTTTTTACTAGAAGGGATATATACCGTTGGAGCTTAGTAATTGCACTAGGGTTTTGAGGCATAGTAATTCTCGTAGAACCGTAGAACTGTAACTATCGGGGGGACATAGTTCGTGATTTCTCAGACCTCGACAGTAGGATTCTGTACTCAGTTTGTGGGTTTGCACTTCCCCGATCAACTCCGTAACCTGGCCCGCCCCTTGTCCAGGAGTTCACGTGCGTGGACAAGAAGCTTGAGCGATATGGCACGGTGGTGGCCACGCTCCACAACCTGATGCCAGGCTGAAATTGCAAGACAATTCTTGTCTGCATGGAGCATGTTTGTCTTTGCATCTCCTTTGAACTCTTGAGATTTGGCATGCTCTGTCACGTGCTGATCTGCTCTGTCGTGCCAATCTGTGGTACTTGTTCTTTGTGCTATTATTGTCATGTTACGTACCAGAGATTTGGTTTCTTGGAGACCAAACCACAGGTACTCGTGACGAGGTAGCAGCCTTCACATTCTGAATCTCCAGTATGGCAGTTTCAGAACATGTGGAACCCTTCTGTAGAACCTTAACTACTATGATCCTGATTGTAAGGACAGCCGAAACCGGGCCGGAACCTGAAACCTTAACCCTAAATGTTACTAAACCCGGACCTCAAAAGCCCCAATCCCCCTCAACCCCAAAAGTCCTCATATCTCAGAGCTTGTTGAGGATGCTCTGGTGGCAGACTCTTCCCGACGTGGACAAAGCGAATACTCGCCACATCGAGAATCTGGTTGAGAGGCCTAGGGTTCAGGGTTCATAGGGGAATCTACTGGCTCCTCAGTTCATGCACGATGTCATAGAATCCGGTTCGAGAGGCAAGGGTAGGTTCAGGACAGGCTGTTGTGATTAACGGTCGCGCCGGAGTCTGTTGCACAAGTCTATGTTTCATTCAGCTTGCTGTTCCAGGCTACGCCCTAAACCCTTGCCCCTAAACTCTAAAGCCGGAGCTCTAGACCCTGAAGCTTGAACCCTAAAACCTGCCTTGGAGCAGGACGGAGCATGCGGCCTACTCAGAGCAGCTCCTTCGCTGCACTTTGGGTCTTGGGCAGCGGAGCTCTTGAGTGTTTTCGGGTTCAAGGGCCCTCTTACCGTCCAAAAATGCCAGTTAGAGCCGCAGACAACACCCGCAAAACCCTGCTCTAACTCTTGGTGGGTTCAGGAGGTACAGGTGGAGAGTCTTCGTTCTGGGTCATTCCAGTCAAACTCACCGATTCAGCTCTGTCGAAGTGTCCACTTCCTTGAACGAAGCCCAGCCGTCACTGCCAACGCTAGGCCCAGCCCCATCAGCAGCACCCGAGTCGATTCCAATAACGCTACGGCGTCGTCATGCAGAGCAAGACTGACAAACGAATCACCAACCCGGAATCCTACCCTAAATCCTAAACCCATGTGTCGTAAACCGTAAGAGAAACGCCTGCAGCTCCAGGTCTGCGTGGCTTAGCGATGCTCAGCAGGCCAGAGATTTGGCGGAGAAGGCGAGGAGACAGCGAGTGATGTTGAGGTCTGAATAAGTTGTAGCAACTCTCTGTTACTACTCCCGGTAAGGTGACACTACAATATCCCCGGTCCTTATACAAAGCTGTGCTACAATATCCCCTTAGAGTTCCGGGATGATGTTAAACTCGACTTGTTAAGGCATCTGCTGTGTGTTTTAGGTAAACTTGGGGGAGTGGAGGGGTGTGGGGATGATGACAACGTGAAGTGAGTCTCGCAGAACTCGGGCAGCTCTTGCTCAGAGCCCTCTAGTACCCCCAAAGGGAGACACACCGAAGCCGTCATGCTTCCCAAGGGAGCCCTTCGAGCGAGTTGCTGCGTCAACACGGTGCACAGGCAATCCAACTGCCATGAGCCCCCTGCTGCGACAGAAGTTGGAGACCACACCACGGGAGGTGCGACGAGTGCTGAGAAGTTTCGGGCAACCAGCGGACGACTGTAGCGTAACCTTGTTGCTCACGGAACATGGTATGCCCAAGTACATCGTTGAGCTCAAGGACGGCACGCGGCTCTTCATGGGCAGCGTCTTCGGAGACTCGAAGGACTCCGACAACGTGCTTGCCTCCATGCGCGCTGCGAATTCTGCCGCAGGCTTCTTGCCGACGTCGGTATCCATTGGCGGCTACTTATCCACAGAGTCAGGGGAGCTCTTGGAGGACGGGGATGGTGGACGGAGGTGGATGCTGGTGCCATGCTTTGAGGAGAAGCAGTCCCTTGCATCGGACAAGCACACTCCGATGAGCGAATGCTCGTACAAGCTGCCAGCCACGCTTGGTGCCTTGCACACCGCGTTGCACAGAAGTGGCGCCAGCGTCGAGGGTCTGAAGTACTACTCCGCCGTCGCAAGCTTCCAGGCAACCCGGGCGAACCTTCAAAAATCCATGGCCTCAACATCGGCGATGCCCTCGGACTTGAGGCGAGTTCTTCAGCCCGTGGAGCAGTGTCTCGCACAGCTGCAGGAAGCCGACGTGGCAGTTTTGGATGCCCTGCCCCGGCAAGTGATTCACAGTGACTTCCAGCCCAAGAATCTGATGCTGGGCCCTGATGGCTCCCTGCGCATCTGTGACACAGAGACCATGACCCAGGGCCCCAGAATCTATGACTTGCTCTTCGTCTTCATGGGTAGCGACGACAGCGACTTGGTTGGTCAGTGGGGTGCCGCGCTGGACCGACTCGAAGAGTATCTGGTCGCCTCTTGGCCGCTGAATGAGGAGGAGCTGCAAGCCATGCCTACTGCTCTTGCCCATCTTGCGACCGGCATCGCAGCATGGGCTGCGCAGAAATTCGAGAACCCTGGTAGCTTAACTCCGGAAAGGCTGATGCAGATCACCACCTGCTTCTCGAGGGCCGTCAAGGAGTTCTTAGATTCTGAGAGGATCCTTGCGTGCTGCGGTCTGGCAAACTGCTTTGCAGGAGGCCCTGCCGTGGAACTGGAGGCTTACTGTGCTTACTTCCGCAAGACAGAAGATCTGGGCATGACACTTCGGTGCCCGGCATTGGAGGCCGGCGAGAGGGGAGCGGCTGTCTTTTTTAATGGCACTTTCTCTCCTGTGCATGCTGGGCACCTGGCGACTGCTGAATCAGCCGCCAATGCCGTGAAGGAGCTGCCCAGACCCGTGAGGCAGTATTAATCACCCAGTTCGGCATCTCCAAGAGAAGCGATTACTGATTAGGGTGCTTCGGGGTGGGGGTGTATCCAGACTTTTGTCGTATTCGGTGCCTTTCGAACTCCTCAAGTCCAATCAAGTCCACGTAAACAACGAGTTAAGTCCAGCTTGCAACCAGCTACATCTAACCACCATCCAGTTAACAGTCTGACGAAGCCCAGCGAACATCAACTAGCTAAGTCTACATCGAAAGTAATACATGCAGCTAATCCTAGATGGGATTCCTCGCCGGGTTGTGATGGCCCTGCGAGTAGCAGCGCTTCCGGATTTTCTAGTCTCTCTCAACCTTGGACGAAGGAGCTGGGATTTGACAAGGTCACGGTTGTCTTCTCGCCATGCCACGATTCCCATGAGGGCGGAAAGCTCAAGCAACTTTGTGTTGGCGTTCAGCACCGTGCTGCGATGCTAGAAGCTGCGGGAGCGACTGTGGACTTGTATGAGGCTTACCGCGACACAGCAGCCATTGACTTGGAAGGTGTGCAGTCGTCCTTCGTGCAGCGGCTGCCTGCCAACTACGATGCCTTTTTCTTGGTGGGGGCGGACATTGCGAGCTGGAGGTGGCTTCGGAGGAAAGTTGCTCTCGGCCTCTATGTGCTGCTTGTAGTGAATCGCCCGGGATCCGAATCTCGCGTTGAAGCGTGCGAAAGGAGCTTTCGATCGCGGCCCTGGCCGGGCTCCCTTCATGTGGTTCGCGGTAAGGGCACAGGCAAGTCTTCCACACGGATCCGTGCGGCTGCAGCTGGTAGTGGTGACTTGGAAGCAGAGGTGGGCATTCCGGAGGTTGCGGCATACATTGCAAAACATGGATTGTACAGGACAGCCTTGGATGGAGCATGATTATCCATTGAAAAGGATTGCAAGATGCTGATGCGCATGAAGATGAATCAATGTCCGCCCATGTTGGAGTGTGTTTCAGAAGTCGAGTATGGGTAAAGGCTCCGGAGGCAGGTTGCAGATGAGTTGAGGGTTTAGGATTTAGGGTTCGGGAAAGTTTAGGGCAACTAGGGCTTGGGGTTACCGGTTTGCAGCTGAGGGTTTAGGACGTCGCGCGAAACGGAGGTCCGCGGCCGACGCTCCTGTGGCCCCAAGCACCAAAATTATGAACCCTACGCCCTACATCCTGAACCCGACCTGAAGCTACCAAGACTAAGTGCTTAGTAGAAACTTTAATATGGGATTCAAAGGGACACCACAAAAAAGCAGATTCTCTGGCAGGTTAAGGTACACCCTAAACCCTGAACCCTTGTAACCCTTAACCGAGCTTCGACCCCACGGTTGTCCGGCTTAAAGTCGCGCTTTTCAACTTCTGGATGCGTCTTCAGCCCCAAGTTCTAAGACCCCAAACGTCGGTGCCTTTTTAAGGGACTCTGTGACCTTCGTTGAAAGTTACTTGAAAATAGCGGCTTTCGAGAATTTAGAATTGCAGTGCTATTGTCGAGTCTCTGAGGGCTGCAGGGCTTTACCTAAGATTGAAGATTTGGCGGTTTTCAGTGCTACTGCAGAGACTTCTTGAGAACAGCTCCGGATTTTGCCGTCTACACGAGGAGTCTGGGATTTCGAGGTATCCTGCGAGTTTATGGCTTTAAGAGTCGGGGTGCGGGATTCTTCTAATCTTAATAGGACTGTCGGCTTCAAAACTAGGGGTCAATGATTAGGGCCCTCATATTTGCTGTAGGATCGAGGACCATTTTATGAGGGCTCCCCATGAGGTATCATCCCCTCCCAGCTTTCATCCCAGAGGCGGAGCCCCTTGCTTGATAGGCTTCTTCAACTCACAAATAAACCTAATCAAGCTCCCATCAAAATCAATAAAACCCGTACGGCACCCGTGCAAAATCCGTGCAACACCCTAGTATAGAGTACTTAGTAATTTCCTATACTATTTCCGGCTTCCTTATTGTAGTTTTAGTTTACTGGGCCCCCAAAACCCTACTTGAAATCATTGAGGCACCTACGTTACCAGTAACTTCTTAAAACGATTTGCTCTCTGAGGCCGCCTCGCGTGATAAGGGGAAGTTCTCCGAGATGAAGAGCCGACAGGGCTAGAAGAAGGTGGGTTTGGGGTTTGGGGTTTAGGGTCGGTGGGAGTTCGAAGGGTTTTCGGGTTGAGGGTTTGCGGAAGCTTTCTGGTGGAAGCTGGAGGGGGGGGGGGAATTTTCAGGTTTGCGGTTTTGGGATTGTGGGAGTCTTCTTGGGGTTTGCGGTCTGTTTGGGTCTTGAGGTTTAGGATCAGTGGTTTACGGGAGTTTGTTGCTGTGGGATCACGAAGGTTTGGGGGAACTTGTTTCCAAGGCTTGTTGTTGTGCATCAAGTGTACCTGAAAAAACTAATCTAAGAACAGGGCCGTGGAAGGGGGGCCATGTCATAGAACCCTATAGTACCCCTTAAAGGGGCCCAACTGTAGAACCCTATAGTAACCTTTAAAGGGCACCCTATTGTAGAACCCTATGGGCCCCTTCAAACGGGGCCCAAATATAGAACCCTGCAGTACCCTTTATGGGAACCGTGTTTTTGCTGTTTAGGCGACCGTGGTGGTAGAGCCAAGCTACGGAAGGCCATCGTGTTGGGAATGTTGGAATGTGTTGCGTTCGCCGTCCGACTTGGAGGTTCATGGGTAGTTATAAGTGTATAATCATGGTTACCCTACTTATAACTCCACTGTTAGCTGCCGACTAACCTCCAAGTACCCGGGCAGTGCACAGGCCTCGGAGAGTGGATGACAGTGAGACGATGGGCTGACCATGCTCGCTGTGCATGCCTGCTGCAGGTGCCAGCGAGTTTCGCGCTGCATGACTTGTTCTGCTGCTAGTCCTCACCTGCGCTTCAGCTGTGCGTGCACGTGCCTCAGCTAATTCCCGATTGAGCTTCGATGTTCTTTCTCAGGTCTGATGTGAAATACGTTCTGCAGAAAGCTTCTAGACGAAACTGTGGTCCTATAGCTCAAGCCCATTATTACGTGTTCTGGTAGTTAACCTTTTCAAAGCACGCGGCACAATCTGCCAAGCAGATGATGTGGCTCGGTGGCTGCCGAAAATCTCCACTTGAAACCTACAGAAAACATAATATAGAAGATAGAATAGCGAATAGAAAGAATTTTTAAATATTGAATATCATTATGATCGAACCGATATTAAAAGCACCGCATGGTTCTGCGCTGAGGATCTAGGGCCCACTTTCCAAGAGGGAGGTGGTGTGTTGAGAGTTGACATTTCAGGGCTTAGGGTTTAGGGAACCTATGAACGAGAACCTGATCGAAGAATCCATGGAGCCATGCAGGCCTTTTTGTGCAATCTTTCAACCGGATTTTGAGAATTCGAGAATTCAACTTGCGGCTGCAGCTTCTCAGACGGGTGCCAAAGCCCGCTGCTGAGCAGCATCGTCGAAAGAGATGCTTTCTGACCTTCGGCTCACTGCCAGCATCATAAGCCCAAACTCAAGAGCCACAACCCTAAACCCTTAACTCCTGAATTCGAAACTCCAACAGAAGAGGTCTTCCGAAAAGCCCATGCAACGTTTCCTGCACCGGAGAAGCCAGCAGAGCCATCTGACTTGCGCGATCTTCATGTCGATCTCAGAGCGTGACGCCTCTGAAGGCTCCTGGTGATCGATCCAAACAACCTGGCCGAGTGCTTTTGCCTTCGGGATTCTTCAGGGTTTAGCGTTTTGGGCCTTTGGGTTTAAGGGTTTAGGGTTTAGCATGTAGGGCCTTTGCTTTAAAGGGTGTGGGACATGCTCTCTGCTTGACTGCCTGGAACCGCTCTCCAATGTCGGGCTCCAATCCGCCGATCTGCAGAAACACGTTTGACACTCCGCCCCACCCTTTGCCTTCCCGAACGCTAAACGCTTCGCCCCTCAGCTTTCACGCAGAGAACTTTCAACGCCAAAGGCTGACATTTGCTAGCAAAGCTGACATCTGCACCCAGTTGACCCACCCGAAGCCCCAAACCCTAAGCCCACAACCCAAGGCCCGGCTTCGACTCCCGTGGGTTTTTGTGTGGAAGAAGCTCTGGAGCAGAACTGCACCTTGAACGCAGCCCCTCTCAAGACTCGCTGCCCAAACTCTAAACCCAAACGCTAAGCCCCAAGCTTCCTTAGACCCAAAACTCGGATTCAGAGAGCTGTCCCCACTGGACATGGGCCTTTCGTGGCAGCGACGTGATGCATGCCGGCTAGGGGGCGTGCCGCCTGAACCTCAGAGGCTGAGGTCTGAGCCTGACTGCCACGCTGCAAGCCCCGTCACCGTTGTCGCCGTCGTCGTCGTCGGACGAGGAATGGAAGTGAACTAGTCGTCGTGATGGCTGTAGGGTCTGGAAGGTAGTACAGGAGGAGCAGGAAGGGGAGAAGGAGGAGGAGGAGGAAGAGGCGGAAGGAGGAGGAAAGGTCGCAACAGATGTCCATCGCCGTGGTTCATCTCAGTCAATCCGTCTGCCCGTGAGACCCATCCTGGTGAGCCCTGAAGCAGAAATAGTTGCACAGGTGAGCCAAGACGCGAGATGGCTGCGCTTGGGGCCCTAGTTTTAGCTTCTTTGGAGTTCAGGGTTTACAGCTCATGGCGGTTGTGGTCAAAAGGCTCTTTTCTTGACTTTGTCTTTGTGCCCGGAATGTCGGAATCTGCTTGAAAGACGTCAGGATCCAAGCCCTAAGGTTCGGGGTCAAAGTGCTTTGTGTTGAGACTCTGGTTTTTTCGGGTCCCGCGCTTGACGGATTTTCGCGCTCAATTTCGGGTCTTGGGTGTAGGGTCGGCATCCATGTCCGCCAGTGAAGACACGGGAAAAGAAGGGAACCTTAATGGGGACCCCTACCCTATAATGGGCTATATAATGGGTATATGGTATATAATGGCTGTATTCAGGGTATACACGAGGGGCCTCAGCATCTGGTTGAATTCTAACAATCACCGAAAGCCCTTCGCTGCATTACTTCGGTCAGTGCTCGTTTTTGAAGTCCGTGTAGCATGTCAGCTGCGTGCACCCCGACAGAAGACGAGAAGCACATGAAGGAATGCTCGAAAATCACTTAGGTTTCGCAGCAAGACTCTATGGATCGACCAGGAACTCGCAAACGTAATATAGGGGCTTAAATCATTACCAATACCATTGTGGGGGTTCCTTATCATATTTTTGGTATAATGGCCCCAAAACCCTATTCTAATTATTAAGGCCCTTATATTACAGCTTCAGGCATGCCACCACCGGTGCCGTCCGGCACGGGTCAAGGCTCGGGCATAGCCTGCAAGATGTTTCGGGCGTGAGGTGTTGCTATGGGCATTGGATCCGAAACCCTAATCCCTAAATCCTAAACCCGGCCGAAACCCTAAACCCTACACCCACCACCCCAAACCCTAAACCGTAAACCATAAACCTTAACGGGAATTGGGATTCTGGCTCGAAGACTTGAAGCCCCGAGCCCTCACAGAAACCCTCACCCTCAGACCTAAACCCTGAATCCAAAACCCTAAGACCCCAAGGGGGTTCAAAAAGCAACCCTGAGACCATGAACCCCCAGACCTCGCACGAACCCTAAGCCCTAAGCTCGAAGCTTCACACCCCTTTGCTTTGGGGGTTAGGTCTCAGGGAGATTGTCCGGGTGTGAAGCGTGTTTATCATTTTAGGCTCTAGGAACGCTGTTTTTGGGGTTCAGGCTTCGGGGACTCTAGGATTCCGGGTGAAGGGTTTTGGAAGGTTTGAGAGTTACGAACCCAGGAATGGGTTTGGGGGAATTAGGGTTTCGTATTTTTGGCAGTTAGTTGCGGTGATGATAACGTTGATGCTAGAGTTCTTCTTGCTTTTCCATCTGCTTGCCATTTGTGTCGTCGCCCTTATCGTGCTTATCGCTATCTATGCCCCGGGCTCCAAAGAAGCCCTTGCAGACTTGTGTGGATTTATGGAACCTTTCAGCCCGTTATAGAAGTATAAAGCCCTTGGTAAGAGTCTCTAAAATATGGAACCCTGGATAAAAAACCATAGAGCACACTGTATAGAATTATAGACGTAGAGCCCCTTTTAGAATTGTGGAGCTCTCTCTTTAGAACAGCGACGACGTCGGAAGCTTCCCTGCAGAATTCGAGCCTCTGCCGCCGTGGTCCGAACCACAGGCCACCCGCAGCTCTTTTCAATGACGGGTCACTGCCCCTAAACCCTAAACCCCTAACCAAACCCTTAACCCCCCACACCAAACCCTAAATACCCCTAATCCCTCTTGTTTAAACCCCTATTGGAGCTTTTGAGTTTGGGGATCTCAGTGTTTGGGTGTTTTTTGGGCTATTCGGGCTTGGGGTTTAGGCTGTTGGGTTCAGCGTCTGGGGCTTTAGGGCGTGGGTTTAGGGTCCGCTAGGCTGGTGGGTTTTAGCCGCAGGGTTGAAGCAGCTTGGGTGTAGGGTTGTGGGAGCCCTTGGTGGGGTAGAGAGTTCGTGATAGACGCAAGCTGGTCTCCTACTTTGTGATTGTGTTCAATGCAAAGCCAGAGTGAAGAAAGATGGCTTTTCAGAGCAGCGCTCCACAGCATGAGCCAAAGCGCCAAGCCCGAACTCGTGATCCCTAAAACCTAACCCCTGCAGACACAGAAAAGGCCGTTGCACCTTTCAAACAAAACCCTAACCCCTAGCCCCTAAACCCTCAACCCTATTGCGAGGAGGAAAAGGATCATGCAACAAAAACCCTAAACCCTGAAGAACCGTTAACTGAGTGACGAGACCCATCGGGCAACCTCCTCCTTCGTACTTTCCGGGCAGGCCGGATTCCGGAGCCAAGGCCAGTTGCAGGGTTTGAGTTGGCTCCATATGGGAGGCTCCGAAATTTAGGGGTACCGTATTTTTGGGGTCCTTAAAAAAAGAACCCTACTTTTTAGGGTACTATATTATAGTCTTCTATTTTCGGAATCTCCCATATCACTTCGAGGTTGGTTTAGGGTTTAGGCTCTAGGGTTTAGGGTTCAGGGTTTGGGGTTAGGTAGGAATTGAGTGGAGTTCTAAATAGGGTACATATCAGGGGACTTACAACACCACTTACAACTACCCATGAATCTCCAAGTATATGGGTGGCCGTCAAAATTATGGTCCCGTTTTGGATACCCTAAATAATAGGTGCTGTACTATATTAGGGACCCAAAAAGGGACCATAATTTTGACAACTAGCCATATTTCTATACCCTCCTTCCCCCCAAAGTGCAAGACTCAAGGGTCAACTCAGCAGTCGACACTGGCAAAGGGGCCGTGTCTTAAGGGGGTTCGTTTGGTGCTGGTGGCTCTTTGAAGCTTCCGTCATTTTTTTTGGGGGGTTTCTGCCTCGTTGAATCGTGGGTCAGCGATGTAGGGGTGCAGGATTGACTTGAGTAGGGTGCAGGAATTATGCTTGTGGACTTAGGTTGCTTGTTTTTCTGATTGAGGGACCGGGGGTTTCATTAATCTAGGGCCTACATTATCCTGAGCCCTGGCTGGATTGGGGTTTGGGGCTTGGGGCTTCCAACGAGACCCGGATTCAGGGTTTAGGTTTTGAAGGCTTTGGCGTCTAGGGTGCAACATAAGGGTCCGAATGATGAAGAAGACCGTGAATAGCACCAATATGAACATAGTCATACCATCGTCTGCGCTAAAATTCTGTTCTAGTTACCGGGGCCCTCATGTTTGGGTTTGCTAATGTCCCACACAACACTGCAACGTCTGTACAAGCCTGATATCAACAAACAACAACACATACCAAACCATGCACGGGTTCAGGGCTATCCTATTTAGGAAGCCCATATTGCAACAAAGCTAAATTGCAAACCCTGAACCCCTAAACCCGCGACCCAAAAATCCTAAACCCCCAAGCATCGTTAGAACAGCCTTCCCTGGCTACAGGCGATGTGCTGGCTCCGCAGCTACCTGTGCCCTCCCAAGAGCTGTTTGCCATTTCGGTGGATAAGAGTTCACGTCTAAGGTTTGGGGATTTAGGCTTTGGATTGTAGGGTTTGGGAGTCAGGGTTTGGGGTTTTCGGCTTCAGGGCTGGGCAGCGGAGCAGACGTTTCTTATGCAGCCCTTCCAGACGCATCAGCCTCTCAGCAGCCTTTTTCTCGCTTGTCTGGATCCCAAGCCCTCGTCCAGAGCTTGTCCTGGCAGGTAGCAGCATTTGGCAGGCACAAGACGGGGACTTGACATTCCGGTTCAGGGTGTTTAGGGATGATGGAAAGCGGGCGCCTGAAAACAGGTTTCATGAGCAAGATCTGACGGACGGTACTCCACCAGATAGCTGAAAACCAACATCTGAACTCGCACCGTTGGCAGGCTTGAGTTGTTGAACACGCGGCTGTAGAGGATATTGCTTGCGATGCTGTCGGTATGTCTACCGGACGGCACTTCATGGACACCGATTCTGCAAACTAGACTCGTACTTGTCAACATTCATAATCACAGCAATAGTCGTTATCCTGCTGAGAAGAAAATAACAGCAGTAACACTACGAATGAGAACAGGAATAAGAACACTGCTGAGAAACTGATTAGCCGGGGACCGTATTGCTGAGGAGTGATGAACTGCAAAATATGAGTTGACAGCCAAATAGAGCAAACGTGATAGTAATAGCAAGGTTGGTGTTCATAACAGTTATGCTAGCATCAATAGTCATCATAGTAACAATAACCATAGCCATAGCCATAAGAGCAATTATCCTTATCATGCTCATCAGCATCAAGCTTTCCCTGCAGTCTATGCTTGGAGGTTCATGGGTAGTTATAAGTGGAAGTATAAGTGCCCGCCCTAATATGGCTTATCATTGTAGTAAGCCTACTTAGAACTCCACTATTATAACTAGCCATGAACCTCCAAGTGTGGAACATGCGCGCAGTGCAGGCGCGACAGCCTCGGTCTCAGTGCTGTTGCCGGAGGCGGGGCAAAAGCATTCAACATCCTGAGCCCTTTTAGATCCCTTACAGTCCCATATAAGGGCCCTTATAGGATCCCTTGTGGATCCTTTCTAGATCCCCTATAGATCCATCTTAGATCCCTCTACAAAAATGCCTGAGGAGGAACCCTTAGGGGTCGGCAGTGGGGGGTTCGGTATCTGATGTGCAGGCCTGAGCCTCATCGAGCGGATCGGTGGACGCCTGAGTCGTCCTCACATGTAAGTGCATGTATTTATCAGCATGCATTTGTATATCGGTGTATTATGTACATGTATATGCATGCGTGTTGATATTTTTTAAATATACGTGTATACAGATATTGAACATACACGCACATATATAGATACATGCATACATACCTATGTACATACATACATACATACATACATGCATACATGCACACACACACACACACACACATTAGAGCCTGTCTGTGAGCCCGAGGTCACGAGCTGAAACGCATCGCGAAGGCTTGTTGGAATTAGTTTTGAAATGCATTGCTGACTGCTGAGGCGGATCGGGAACTCTTCGCTGACTGAGAGAGTCCCCGATGTCCCTCTTTGTGATGTATGCGTCGATGTGGGAGGTTCTCGGCGAATCCCCTTCAGCACCTGCGGCTTCGGCGTACCAGCCGACGGGCCCGGCGGTGCAGCTCCAGCAGTCCCTGGATGCCCTGACTGGCTGGCGTGCAGGCGCGTCGGAGCAGCATTCACTCCTCCTCCTCCTCCTCCTCACCATGTCTGGCATATTCATCGTCGTCATCATCAGCATCACGACGGTCTTAAGAACCAAGAGCATGGCCACCACCAGCACGCCTGCCATTATCAAGGTCTTTGTCTTCCTCGTAGGAGCAGAGCACGCTAGACCTCAAACCCTGCACCCTGAACCCTATAGCTCCCAAACCCCATACCCCAAACCCCAAGCCCAACACCACCCCGTCCCTAAGCCCTAAAGTTCGCCGAGACCATCTCTTGCACAACAAAACCCTTCAAGCCTAAACCGTAAACCCTCAACCAAAACTAAAACCCTAAACCCTAAACCCTAAACACTAAACCCTAAGCTAAGGCCTAAGCCCCAAAGCCTGGCCAAGCAGGCTTCGAGCCGGTGTCAGCACCGCCGGCAGAGCCGGTCGAGGCTCATGGACCCGAAATAATTAGGGATAAGCATTTTATGGGGATATCCCTGGATTTATATGGGATATCCCTATCCTAATGTTTGCTTATGTGCTTTTTTGGGGCTCTAAGAAAGGTCGTTTTGAGGGCTTCGGGGCTTTTAGGGTTTAGGGTTCTTCAAGTTTTGGTTTAAGGTATAGGGTTTAGGGCTTTTAGGGCTTTTAGGGCTTTAGGGCTTTAGGGTTTAGAGTCTTGTGGTTTAAGGCTTAGGATGTTTAGGGTGTTAAGGTTTTGAGGTTTAGAGGTGTAAGGTTTGGTGTGTTTAGGGTGTAGGGTTTCCGAAATCCGATCGAGCTCTTGTAAGACTCTAAAGAGCCCTCAAGGCCGTACAGGACTTTGACATAGGAGTTTCAAACCCCTCACGCCTCGCAACCCTGAAAAGATGCTTCCAAGTAGGACTTTTTTGGAAGCTTTGCTCCTGCTTCTCTCGAACTTTGCCTTGCAAAGGATTGTGCATCCCATTTCGGGCTTAGGGTTTACGGGTTTATGAGCTTGGTGTTTAAGCTTTAATTTTACTGGTAGCAGTCATTCATTGGCCAGTGCATCCATGCCCAAACTATGATAGCCCCCATGCTACCAACCCATCCATTGAACATCCATGCCCAAGCCATGATCATGCCCATGCTGCCGACCCATCCGTCGGCCAGTGCATCCATGCCTAGACCATGAGAACGTCCATGCTGCCAACCCATCAATTGGCCTGTGCATCCATCCCCAAACCATGAGCACGTTCATGCCGCCCTTTTAGTGGACTCATATCGAGAGCCATAACAGACCCAAGAAGAAGAGCAGTACTAACGGCGGTGATAGTGGTAGTCGTAGTGCTATTGGCAGTGGTAGTGGTAGTGGTGGCGGTAGCGGTAACGGTAGCCGAAGTCGTAGCCGTAGCGGCAGCGGTAGTGGCAGTAGTGGCAGTAGTGGTAGTAGTGGTAGTGGTAGTGGTAGTGGTAGTGGTAGTGGTAGTGGTAGTGGTAGTGGTAGTAGTAGTAGTAGTAGTAGTAGTAGTAGTAGTAGTAGTAGTAGTAGTAGCAGTAGTAGTAGTAGGAGTAGGAGTAGGGGTAGGAGTAGGAGTAGGAGTAGGAGTAGGAGTAGGAGTAGGAGTAGGAGTAGGAGTAGGAGTAGTAGTAGTAGTAGTAGTAGTAGTAGGAGGAGGAGGAGGAGGAGGAGGAGGAGCAGACGGAGGAGGAGGAGGAGGAGGAGGAGGAGCAGACGGAGGAGGAGGAGGAGGAGGAGGAGGAGGAGGAGGAGCAGCAGCAGCAGCAGCAGCAGCAGCAGGAGCAGCAGCAGCAGCAGCAGCAGGAGCAGCAGCGGCAGCAGGAGGAGTAACAGGAGGACAAGAAGCAGCAGTAGCTCCAGCAGTCTTGGTATTGTTATTCCTGGTCCTAAACTGAGGCGAGGCGCTTCGAGTGATGCAGTCGCCGAGCCGCAGCGAAGCACACCCGGTGCGCAGCGGGCCCGGAGCAACGAGCGCAAGCGCGCAGGGCCTTGGGCGAAACACAGCCCACGCGACCGGCCATAGGGAGCTGCGCACGAGCCCGTCTGCGATGTGCGCAATAAAAAGATCACCCTAAACCCGAAACCAAGGCAGAGGATCCCTGCTCCTTTCCTTTCGTGTGGCAGCTCTAAAGCGGTCCCAAACTCCAAAAGCTGTCTCTCGGAGCCCCGATTAGAAACGGGACCCTCGCGTGTTCGTCCCTGGGAGCCCGGATCAAAAAATGAACCCTCGAGTGCTCGTGTGTGCCCAAGCAGGTCGGGGCCACATTCTGCTGCAAAACAGGGCCGTTCTTTTCGTGTGCCTGCTCTAAACTATATGGTGCCTCTGGGTGCCCAAAGCGGCCAAAGCCAGATTCTGCAGGAAAACAGGGCCGTTCTTTTCGTGTGCCTGCTCTAAACTGGGTCCCCAGGCTTAGGATCGAAAAATGGACCCTCGAGTGCTCGTGTGTGCCCAAGCAGGTCGGGGCCACATTCTGCAGCAAAACAGGGCCGTTCTTTTCGTGTGCCTGCTCCTGCGCCGAGGGCTGTCCCAAACTCGATGTCTCGCTCTAGTTCTCTCTCGTTCTTTGGTGCTGAAAGCGATCGAGCAGCTAGAGCGAGAGACGTCTTTCGATGCACAGAGGAACAGAAATTACGCAACCGATCGTCATACTCTATCTCTTGATCGAAGTTGGCAGGGGACCTCTACTAACCCATCGGTTCGTTGGGATTTCTAGTTGCCGGAGGGTTTTCGATGGAAAAGGACAGCGCGAATGGTGACGAGTTGTGGGCATGCCGCCGAGCCATGTCCCAAAGTCGATGCTTCTCGCTCTACCTTGTCCGATCATCGAAAGCGGCCAGGTTCTTTCTCGTTCTTCAGAAATCGCACAACCGGCACATACTCTACCTCATGATCGAGGTTGGGAGGGAACCTCTACCAACCCATCGGTTCGTTGGCCCGTGCCGGTCTACGCCCTTCACGCCCCAACGAACCTCTGCCTCCTCTCACCCCGCATAACTACATACACAGCCTGTACATACACACACTCATGTATACATGTATAAACGGAATACGCACACATATGTATTCATAGACATGCACGCACAGATGAATACTTGTGTATATACATTCTATGCATGCGAACTACGTTACTCATGGCAACCCATCGGCACTGATGCACCCAATATGGTGAGAACCGAGACGAGGTAGATAAGAATGAACACGAGGGTTCCTCCTAGAAGGGAACCCTAAACCCTGAAAGGTCGAGGCTAGGGCGGCTGGGGTGGGAATACAAGCTACGCATAGCGAGCGCAAATGGTGAGGGCCGGCGTGAAAGCAGTATCGGGAGCCGGCCCGTGAAGGATGCGCGAGCGGACACAGTGCACACCCTAAAGCAGCAGCAGCAGGAGCAGCAGCGGCAGCAGGAGGAGTAACAGGAGGACAAGAAGCAGCAGTAGCTCCAGCAGTCTTGGTATTGTTATTCCTGGTCCTAAACCCTAAACCCTTAACCCGAAACCCTAAACTTTGGATTGCTCCAAGCAGAGAGCAGCAGTCCTAGTAGGCCAACACCTACGGCGCACCCATCGCCGCACTGCGGCAGCCGGTGCGATCTGCACAGCGAAGGGAGGCTCCTAGTCAAGTGAGGGTACTACAAGGGCCTTTACAAACAGAACAGGGTTTGGGGGATGTTTTTTGTTTTAAATATAGTCAAGAGAGGGAGGGTAATACAGGGGCCTACAATTAGACAATGTTTTTTTGGGGTATTTTGTGTTGCGTTATAGTTATAATAAGGAGCCCCCAAATAGTATTCGTAAGTATTAAAATTTAGGACCCTTTTTCAGATGGAAGCTGTGTCAAATCCAGCCACAACTCGACGTGGTAAGACGCTTATGTCTCAGAGTGCTTTTCACTAAACCCTACACCCTAAACCCAAACCTAAAATCAATATAGGGACGGATGCTTAGTTGGGAATTGGCATTGTGAGGTCACAGCGGCCAGAAACTGCTTCGAACGACGGCCTGTACATCAGCTTTCCGCTCGGCTAGCACAGAGTTCCAGCTCAAATGCAGACTCTGAAACCCGGATCTCTGAATGCACACCTCGAACCTACAATGTCCTAAACCCTAAACCCTGAGCCCTAAACCCTAAGACCCTAAAACCCTAAAGCCCTAAACCCTGAGCCTAAGTCCTGCACTTTGGTGCCGTCTTAGTCTTCGGAGGCGGCCGCTCCGGGCCAGGCCGGGCAGATACGTGCGGGTCAAATCCGCCGATCTTCCTCACATTCGGCAGGCTGGGGTTTGGGTTTAGGGGTTTAGGGGTCTAGGGGTTCAGGGTTTCGGGTTTAGGTTTGGGGTTTTGGGTTTTGGTTTAGGGTTTTGGGTTGAGGTTTGGAGTTTGGGGCTTAGATTTAGGGTTTAGGGTTGAAGTGTAAGGTTTAGGGTTGAGGGGAAGCGCCCAGACAAATCGTTTGACCCTGATGCCTCAGCACTCTGTTACTTCTGAAGCCGCATGCGCGCTCACACTGCTTTGGTGTGGCACGCCCTTAACCTCAAACTGTACTTCAAGCCCTAAATCCTAAACTTTAGGCCCATACAACAACGCAGGACGGCACTCCCGAGCACCCTGGCGTCCCAAACTCGTGGCGGTGGCCTCGGATGAAATCGCAGGAGAACTTGTTCTTTATTCTATTTTGATTTCCGTCATTACCGTTTGGTGGTACTGTGAGGACTACTGCCAATTCTGTGAATTGTATTGTGAGTGCTCTTGCCCTCGTTACGATGATGTTTGTGAACACCATGATTAGTCGTGCTACTATCATTACCTCTTTTATCACTCTGTGCGATGGTTCGTTTTGCTCGGGTGCATTTTGCAGGATAGGCTTTCGGGTTTAGAGTGTTATGTGTGTGTGTGTGTAGGCCAGAAGGCTCAGAAGACAGATTCTCGTAGTGATTGTTCGGATAATGCAGGGGTCTGAATAACGATTCGTAGTGTGGCCCCCTTCTAGTCGCCATGTATCTACGTTACACTAAAACCCGAACTCTGTTCTAGGTTTTACGTAATGTTGCTCATGTCAGTTTATGACTTGTATGGTGTGCACATACTGATCGTTAAGCTTCCTATTCTACCCTACTAAGCCCTAAACCCATCCAACCCTAAGTCAGTTTGGGCCTTAGATGTCTGTTATATACAGGTTTATCAGAGGGCCGTTCAGTCCAGAAATCGGGTTCTGTGGGGTGCATGCTTTGGGCTTTGGGCATTTAGGGTTTTGGGTTTTGAGGTTTCCGGGTTGAAGGGTGTTTGGGGTTTCAAGGTAGCAGCATCCTGCTGTTTCTGGCATCACTGTTAGTGTATGTTCGGTATCAGCAGCGGTAAGGGTATGGTTATTGGCGTTGGCGCTTCTGTTCTTGCTACCCACACCCAAAGCCATACTCCTACCATGACGAATCAGACGAAGCTTTTACCATCACACACCCACCCAGGCTCAGACGCACGGTGCTGGAAGCATGTCTGGCCACGGCCTCAGGCTTTCAAAGATCAGGGGACCTGAAAAGCACGGGCTTAGAGGGTTTGGGGTTGGGGTTATGGCGTTTAGGGCTTCAGGGTTTAGGGTCACTAACACAAACGGCCGCGACCTCGTAGTGCCTCTTCAGCCCCAAACCCCCAACCAAAATCCGGAGAGACACTGAACCTCAATTTGCAAACCCTGAAACCACTAGAGTAGACCCCCGAACCCTTAAACCCTAAACCCTAAACCCTGAACCCTTAAACCCTAAACTCTAGACCCTACACCCTGAAACCCATAAACCCCCAAACCCTATGCCCTGGAACTCGAGCCCAGAAGGCTCGGCCAGAAGTTCCCAAACCCTAATTCCTGAAACCCCCAAAGGCCTAAAACCCTACACCTGAAAGCCCTGAAGCTTCAGACTTCTAGACTCTAACAACCACGCAGCCCCAGACTCTAAAACCTTGAAGCTCTAAACAATATACTTTAGGGCCTTTAGGGTTTAGGGTTTAGGGTATGTCCCAAACTCCAGATCCAGGTAGCTCAACTTGCTCTTCACCTCCGGCGTCGCTGGCCAGTCTGCAGGTGCGAAAACTCTCGGGGCTCCGTTTGGGGCTTTTAGTTTGGGGTTTGTAGTTCAGGGTTTAGGGTTTGGGGTTTAGGGTTTAGGCTTTAGGGTTTAGGGTTTAGGGTGTTGGAAGTGTTGGGGTTGAGGGTTGAGCAAGACTGATCACTGCGAACCCCTGGAGGTCCAAAATGGAGCTGCGATTTCCAAGCCGCGTCGGCATGCAGGTCTGGCGCAACAAGGGTACTTTCGAGGGTTTCTTGACGGGTTTCTCTCTGGGTTCTATACACGTTCATGTGGGGGGTTCCTAAACCTTCAACCCTAACCCTAAACCCTTGCTACAAGGGCTTTCTTTATGGGTTCTACCGAGCTTGGATGGGGGCGGATAGCAGGTCAGGGGTTTAGGATTTCGGCCTTGGGGTTTAGGGATCGGGTCTAGAGACCTGAACCCTTAACCCTAAACTGCCCCAAACTCGATAGATAACGTACGCTCCTGGCCCCCCAAGTCTTGCATGGTCTTGGTGCAGCTCTGGAGGTTGACAGAAAAAATCTTGAAACTTGTGCTTAGGGGTGTAGGGTTTCAGGATGTAGGCGAGGTTTCGTAGGCCTGGAGGGTTTAGGTTGTCAGGATTTAGAGGTTTTAGGGTCAAGGGCTAAGTCACAGTCTTCCTCCACAATCCCGATATACAGAATGGCGCAGCGTACTCCGTAAGCTACTCTTTCTCATCCCCGCCCTAGGATCTGCATCCCCAAAACCCTAAACCTCTAGCCCCCTGAACCCTAAGCCTTAAATCAATCCTAAATCCCGAACCTTAAACCCTAAACCTCTAACCCCCCTGAACCCTAAACCTTAAATCCTAGATCCTAGACTCTAAACCCTGAACCTCTAACCCCCCTGAACCCTAAACCATAAATCTTTAATCCTAACCCCAAAACCCTAAACCTCACACCGTGAACCTCTAACCCCCCGAACCCTAAAGCCTTAAAGCCCGAAACCCTCGAAACTGTACCTCGGGAAGATGCAGGTGGGCGCCCTCTTCGTGCAGGGGCCCCGGGGTTTTAGGGCCTTAGGGGTTTTGGGTTTAGGGTTTAGGGGTTTGGGGTTTAGGGGTTTAGGGTTTAGGGGTTTAGGGTTTAGGGGTTTAGGGTTTAGCGTTTTAGGGTTTAGGGTTTCCGAAGAGTGACAGGCCAGTTTCTGCAACAGCAGTCGAACACACGGAAAATTCTGCAGACAAATGACGGTGGTTGCCGTGTTGGCAGTACCCCTAAACCGGAAGCAGTTGAAACGCCAAAGACATGAACTTTGAAGCCCTATAACCAGTGAGACTACCATCCGGGCCATAAGCCTTTCAGCCCTAGACCCGCACCCCTCGAACCCTCAAAATTCCTCAGCCCGAGCCGTCTGCCCGTCTTTCTTGAGGAGTTGCTCCGGGAAATGCCAATGACATCGCCCTGCACTGTGTCTCTGCTTTGGAGTGGCTCGGTATGAAGACGTTCTCCCGGTAGTTAGGGTTGAAGTTAGGGTTTAGGGCACATGTGGGGTTTCAAGTCAAGGGCCTGGCATCTGTTCTTTCGTTTGTGGTATCGGCTGTCTTGGTAGCCGGACCTCCCGCGATCTGAAATTTTTCAGTGCATGATACATAATCATAATCACAGAGGCTATGAAAATAGAGAAGCCAGTGTAATCCCCAATATTGTTTGGGTTCCTTGTTAGAGGCTCGTGGCATAATCTACACCAAATAATTCCCTGGAGTTGCGAAGGCTGAAATCCTCAGCGATAGTAGCAGGACCTCAAGAAGCTTCTTTTGTGGATGTATTTGCTTTTTGTATATTTGTTCAACTAGGGCCCTACTACAGTTATAGAGCTACATAATATATGAGGGAACTGTAAAGGAATATCACTACCCAGTTTGCGGATCTTATATATCGCCGAATTCCGGCTAACCCAAGGTCGTGATGGCGACTTGGATCAGCCGCTTGGCGGCATAATCTCTACTTGGAGGTTCATGGGTAGCTGTGACTGAAGTTTTAGGTAGGGTGACTGCAATTATAACCCGCATTGGGGGACATATAACTACCCATGAACCTCCAAGAAGGAGTCGCAGCTCTTGAGCAGTCGGAAAGCTGTCTTGGTTTAGGGTTTAGGGTTTAGGGTTTAGGGTTTAGGGTCATGATGTGTTTTCTTTCTTGTTATGCATGTGTTGTCTTCTTCGCCTGGGCTGACTTTCGTTTTACTACCAATCCTACCTAAGCTTTTTCCGCAGTTCGAAAGACTCTCGAAGTCAGCCAACCTAAGTAGACTTGGATTTTGGCACCTGTCGTTCTGCAGCTTCAGGTTCAACCTGCTAGGTTTGGATCTTTGCATTGAGATTCGAGCCTAACCTGCACCTACCTTAAACCCTAAACCCTAAACCCTAAACGAAGGGGAGCAGAAGCCCCTGAGAGATCCCAAGGCTGCCGGCGATAGTTTAGTGTCCTTAAGGTAATGCAGGATTTATATCATCAACCGTCCCTGTCTTTGCGAATGCTTTCTGAATTAACCTTCAACACGAAGCTCTTCGTCCGAATTAAGATCCTCAGCCCAAGAATCCCTGAACTGCTAAACCCTGCAATCCCAAACCCCTACCACTCTGTTCTCCTAAAGCCCTCAAGCCCCAAGCCCCAAACCCTCTCAAAAAATGTCCTTTATAACACCCCTTACAGTAGCTTTATAGAAGACTTAGCGCTGAACCCAAAGAGTTTGAGGTACAATCCCAAAAATTTGGTAGTATTCCGTAATTCCCTTTTTGTGCCCTTTATAAGTGTAGTAGAGTAGATAAACCCTGCATCCAAACGCCCTCTTCAAATGAAGCCGCCGAGGTCGGCCATGAGTTTCCGTATCTGGCTGAATGGCAGGGAGCTGAACTGTAGCAGCAGGAAGGCCGCCTCGACAGCCTCTTAATACCATTACTACTATTACTACTATTACTACTACATTACTGCTATTACTATTAATACTATTATTATCTTCAGGTTCGGGGTTTTGCAGGTTCGGGGTTCAGGGGCTTTTCTCGGTGAGGGGTTTGGGGTTTTCGGTATAGGTTTGGGGTTCAGGAGTTGTGGGTTGGGAATTGTGGCGGCTGAGACCGGGTTGTTTTGCTTGGCTTTCGAACCGCAGGCAGTGTGGCCAGCTTGAGAATCGCAGTCTTACATGGAAGCGACCATGGCTTCGACCATAAACCCTAAACCCTAAACCGGTATCTGAGATGCTACCACCATCTCAGCACCCAGTCGACCTGGGAGGTGGACATTGGCACGAACGCCTTCCAAGTGCAACGGAATCCAGCAGAGAACATCTCGCTGAACCAAGTTGGCACGTGCCGCGATTGCAAGCAGGACAGTGATTCTTTCCTCTAGGGCCTAAGATAGGGGCCTTAATGTTAGAAAAGGGTTTGGGCGTATATTATGCTATAGTTATGACAAGGAGCCCCTAAAACTAAAACCCTATTCTAATTGTTAAGGCAGGGTCTCTGGCTGGGTCTTGCAGTCCTCATATGACTTCGAGGGAAGTTGCTCGACCGTTGCAATACTACAGTGGCCTTAGTAATTACCTATACTATCTTGGCGGCCTCAAAATCCTATTCTAATTTTTAGGCCTCTATATGACGTCGCTGCAGAGTGTTCGGTTGAAGCCGACAGTTTCCTGTCCCATGCGGACTGCTGTACTGGTTACCACAAGGGCTATATACTTGGAGGTTCATGGGAAGTTATAAGTGGGATTGTAAGTCCCCGAATATGGGCTGATAACTCCACTTGTATCTACCCATGAACCTCCAAGTGCTGCATGGGCTATCAGGTACGATGTGAAGGTGGAGAGCTTGAGCCGCAACATCGCTGACGTTCCCTTCAAGGCAGTTCCGGGGAAAGGGTCCCAAGCCAACACTAAACCCTAAACCTTAAGCCCTAAACCCTAAAAATTAAACTCTAAACCCTAAATCCTAAGGACCAAGCTGGAACTTCGCAGTTGCCCGAAGCTCCCCACCTCACTCCGTCGTAAAGGGCTTTGGCGTACGGCTCAATTAGATCCAGGGAATACTACAAAGACCACGACGACAAACACTACTACTAACAATAGAAACACTATTTTCTGTTGTTATCACCATAACCTGCTCTTCACGACATGGGGTTCAGGTTGTCGAGTTCGGGGGGCCTTTTTTTTGCAGAGGTCCTTGTGCGACGGTCCGGGCAAGAGGCGGAAATCTACGAACCTGGGAGCTGATCCAGGATTTGGGGCTGTTGGGATTTGGGGGTTTAAGGTTTGCGGGGTTTAGGGGTTTAGGGGTTTAGGGGTTTAGGGGTTTAGGGGTTTAGGGGTTTAGGGGTTTAGGGGTTTAGGGGTTTAGGGGTTTAAGGTTTAGTTGTTTAGGGGTTTAGGGGTTGGGGATTTGGGGGTTACGGGGCATTGGGTGGAATAGGCTGTGAAACCTTTAGTTTAAGCCTACGAAGAACTCTCTGGCACTCTGAAGCAAGACGCAAACGTAAACCGAACCCTCCACCCTAAACCCCAGCCTACAGCTTGGAAACAGCTTCAGTCATAGAGCCTGACAGCTGGGAGCAGAGCTGAACACTTTAGTCCAAACCTTCATGTAGACCCTTGAGGGAGCCCCTCAAGGTATGTTATAGTACACGTATATAGGGAGTTTGAGTGGATATAGTAGTACTCTAGACACCATCTTATAGCATATTTGTACAGGGACCGTAAGGGGATATTGGTAGTAATGTAGACCCCGGCTATCTTGGAAGGCACTATGGTTTTGATCCCTCGTGCAATCCCTACAAGGGGGAGGGTGTTGATGACACCCAAACCCTAAGCCGGACACACACACACACACACACACACACACACACACACACACACACACACACACACACACACACACACACACACACACACACACACACACACACACACACACACACACACACACACACACACACACACACACACACACACACACACACACACACACACACACACACACACACACACACACACACACACACACACACACACACACACACACACACACACACACACACACACACACACACACACACACACACACACACACACACACACACACACACACACACACACACACACACACACACACACACACACACACACACACACACACACACACACACACACACACACACACACACACACACACACACACACACACACAACACACACAACACACACACACACACACACACACACACACACACACACAACACACACACACACACACACACACACACACACACACACACACACACACAACACACACACACACACACACACACACACACACACACACACACACACACACACACACACACACACACACACACACACACACACACACACACACACACACACACACACACACACACACACACACACACACACACACACACACACACACACACACACACACACACACACACACACACACACACACACACACACACACACACACACACACACACACACACACACACACACACACACACACACACACACACACACACACACACACACACACACACACACACACACACACACACACACACACACACACACACACACACACACACACCACACACACACACACACACACACACACACACACACACACACACACACACACACACACACACACACACACACACACACACACACACACACACACACACACACACACACACACACTTGAACCCCAAGCCCCAAATCTAGAGCTTCAGGCCCAAACTTCAGTCTAGGAGCATACCATTTGTTCCATAGACGGCATGTCCGAATTGCAAGGTGCAGTGCCCTAACGTCCTGCTAGTGGTTGAAGGCAGAATTTAGACCTCACGGTCAAGGCGGCATTTTCAGGATGTCGACCTTACGGTTTAAGGAGTTTACAGCTCGTGTTTAGAAGATCTGCTTGGATCTTATGGCTCGTTGGGGGCTGAAGGTTTAGGGTGGCGGAGGATGGGGTTCGAAGGCTTGACCCTAAACCCACTTCGAAGGTCCCTAGACCCTGACACCTAAATTAGGGGCCAAACAAGCACATAAGCATAAGCATTTTCCAGGGATATCCCTACCTTAATGGGCTTCATTATAAGGGGGTTTATATGGGATATCCCCCCCTTGTTTTTGCTTATGTGCTTTTTTGGGGTCCTACTAAACCCAAAACCCTGTCAGCAAAGGAAGGCGTTTGGCCTCGCAGAGCGGCAAAAAGCTTGATGGACGTGACCCAATTGCATCTTGGGGATGCCCCAGTGGCCCTTTGATGGAGCCCTTATGGCCCTTAATTGTGGGTATTTGGGGTATATTAGAGGGTAGTTGGGGGGTCTAGGTGCAGGTCGAGTACTTGGGGTTTAGGCTTTGATAGCCCTCTGTAGTCCATGAGGGCCCCTGCAATCTGGATTGTAGGGTGGACGGCGAAACGCCCTGAACGCCCTGCCAAGCTTGTCCACTCACGATTGCCATCACGTTTACAGTGGAGTGGTCAAGCTGATGGGTGTTCTTAGAATACGGTTTCGTGGGGTGATATGGTTTGAGAATCAGAGTCTTTCGAACGTTTTATAGGGGCTCGACTAGCGGAGTTGTTGACGAGAACCTGGGTGCAAGTATTTGTGGACATAACTGTTAACCTTCGCATTGAAGGAGTGTTGGATCATCTGCTCAGGCCCCCCTAACCCTGAGTCATGCAAACAAAACAAGGAACCCTGAACCCTAAATGTCTGCTTGTATCCAACTCAAGGTCTGTCAAGTGACGGTGGAGCCAGAGGCCTTGTTAAGAGGAGTTAAGAGTTTAGGGTTTGGGGTTTAGGGTTGGGGGGTTTCGGTTGTCAGGTGCAGGGTTTTGGGCGTTTATGTCTACTGCCAGTCCTGGGAGGTATCCTTCGTTGGAAACTGGGGTCTCGGAAAGCGGGATACGTTACTTCGGGGTTCCTTCGAACGAGGAGATCCTACTCCTTTGTCGGTTGTTTTCGTTTTTCTCAGGGTCCCCTACATTCTGAACCTCACACATAAACCCAAATCCCCAACAGCCTGGATCCCACGACGCTAGACTCCTGGATGCTAATCAGCTGAACTTAGGCCGTGAACTCCTAAAGCCAACCTAAAGTCCTGAGGCACCTTCAAGCTCAGAAATGCCTGCACCAAAAGTGCGCACCCCTACGCCGGAACAAACCCTTGAAGCCCATGCACTCAACTCTGCACTTCAAGGACACGGGCCACACACTCGAATCCGAGAGTTCCGAGATATCCAAGCCGGAATGCTCAAACAGCTAAAGCCCCCCACAAGACAAAGCACACAGAGACACAGACAGACAGACAGACAGACAGACAGACAGACAGACAGACAGACCGACGGACAGACAGACAGACAGACAGACAGACAGACAGACCGACGGACAGACAGACAGACAGACAGACACAGACAGACCGACGGACAGACAGACAGACAGACAGACAGACAGACACAGACAGACCGACGGACAGACAGACAGACAGACAGACAGACACAGACAGACGGACGGACAGACAGACAGACAGACAGACAGACACAGACAGACGGACGGACAGACAGACAGACAGACAGACACACAGACACACAGACACACAGACACACAGACACACAGACACACAGACACGCAGACACACGGACACACAGACACACAGACACACGGACAGACACACAGAGACACACGGAGACACACAGAGACACACACACACACACACAAACCCAAAACCCTAAACTCTAAACTCTAAGCCTTAAACCCTAAACCCTAAAAATGTGTTTTTTATAATCCTTCTTGCTTCTGTCAGGACCTCTTCGAGCAGTCGCCGGAAGCCCCTGAGGCGGCCCGGGGTTAGAAACGGACGAGGGTCTTCGGGATTTTGTGAGTTTCCGGGCTGGTGGTTTAGGGTTTAGCTTTGGGCTTTGGAGTGTTGGAGTTATGGAGACTACTATTACGACTGCTACTACTACTCCTGCTGCCGCTGCTGCGGCGTGTGCCAACGCCGGTGCCAGTGCCCATGGCAACTTGCTGGCCGGCGACCCCTTCGCACCAATATTTTCAGACACGCGGAGGGATGCTTCACGGCCGAACGCCACACAGTAACTCCGCAGTTCAGGAAAGCCCTGTCGATTAGGCGCACCAGCAGCAGCACCAGCAGCAAGCAACACCAAGAGGGAGAGCAAGAGCATCAGCAACAGCAGCAGCGAAGCAACGTCAGCACCGCCACCACCAGCAGCAACACCGACGACGACAACAACAGCAACATCAGCAACAGCCATATGTAGCAAGAGCAGCAACTGCAGCCAGATTGACCAATTGTTGCCAGGACCTCCCACCCAGAGTGTCATCGCCACCGCCCAGCGCGGCATCAGGCGCTTGCTGTGTGCTAGACTTCGAGATTGCAGGGCACTGAGGAGTTTGTAAAAGCAAGGTTTATGGGTTTTAAAGGGCTCAGGATTTAGGTTTAGGGCTTCAGGTTCATTATGGCTTCTATTGCGATGCTTGAACCCATACAGGCCAGGGGGCTATCCGTCACGGGTTGCCGGTGCAATACCCGATTATAGGGGATCCTAGTACAGTACCCTAAATAGTAGGATCCTTATTATACGGACCCCGGAATAAGGTACCTCCTAATTTTCGGAAACTCCCAAATTTAAAGGATCACCTCCAAGAAGCCCTGGTCCGAATCCGAATACCCACTTTTTCGAGGAGTCGCCACGACGCCAAAGTTTGCGTGCTGGCCTCAGCTTTGAGCTTCGGGCCTACGGGTTTAGGGTTTGGGGCTTCACGTGGTTTGAGGTTTAGGACTTACGCCTTCAGAAGCTTGTGGTTTTGGGGTCTAGTGTTTAGGGTTTTGGGGCAATCGGGTTGAGTTGGGGCTTTAGGGTTGGGGCCTCAGGGTTGGCGCTCTGGGCTCACCGGCGGGGTTGGTGCCTGTTTCGCAGGCCTCACAAGGTGGGATGAAGGTAGGTGGGATTAAGGATCCCTTTTTTTAAGGACTCTTATTTGGGAATATCCCACCTACCTTCATCCTAGCTTTTGAGGCCCCCGACTTATGCCCCCACAGCTTTGGGTTATGAGCTCGGAGTTGGGCGTGTCAGGGTTCGGGCTGAAGAGACCTCAGTGGAGGGATTTTCGGATTTCGGGCTTTGGGAACATCATCCTAACGGGCATTGTGTTTCCGTGTTCTGGGTTGAAGTTTAAGGTTTAAGGGCTTCGGTTTGTCACCTCGAAGTTGTGTGAGTGTCCGTCTCCTACGTGGCGCATCTTTCAGGGTGGTGGTTTTCCGCACATCGGGTCACCCCTAGATCGTAAAGGGAACCCCCAAAAAGTGACCTTCTAATTTGAAGAAGCGCCCTCATTCGGTCTTTGGGTCCATCAGGACCCTCAAACCTGGTAACTCTTTGCACATTCTGAGGTTCGAGGATGATGGGCTGGCGAGTACACTTCAGGCCGGCTTTTGTTTTGTTTATGTCGCTGATGATGCTGCTGCTACTGCTGAGAATGCTGATGATGCTGATGATTGCTCTGGGTCTGCTCTTGGGGGTGTTGCTGCTGATGCTGCGGTTCTTGCCCTTCCCACGACTACGCATCGTCCTGGCAATTCAATAGCCATTGTGCTCAAGACTTGCAAGTTGAGGGAGTGTCTTGCTTGTCCGAGCTTTGCCAACGGATCCGTTTTGTGCCTTTTCCCGTCGCCTGCGGGCTTGGGCGATTCCCGTGCATAAGTAGTAATAGCTGGGGATTCCTAAACATGCCCGAATATAATAACAGAACAGCCACAAGACCGCAGCCGCCTAACCATTCGGGCCTCGATATCATTGGGACCACCACAGATCACAGGCTTCTGACGCCATTTCAAGCCCGGAACCTCCAACTTGAAAGTACCAACTCTGACCCCTTAACCTTAAACCTTAATGAACCCCAAACCCTAAACTCTACATACACCCGAAGCAGCCTGGAATCCTCACCCCCCGAAACCGTGCCCCAATCAGCATTGTGGACAGCAGGCTCCCGCGAACCAGAGGACCTTCGCCTTTGATCCGCAGCGGCTTCCTTCATCGCATAGGCAGGTTAAGGGTTTAGGGCTTGGGTCTTAGGGGTTAGGGGTGTAGGGCTTTGGGGTTTAGGGTTAAGGGCTTGGGGTTCAGGGGTTCAGGGTTTGGGGTTGGGGTTGACGGTTCTAGCCTAATTATAGGACTGGAAGCTCGTTCAGGCTTCTTGACGCCCAAGCTCTACGCAGCGCCTGGCTTTTGCAGTGTCTGGGTGTTTTAGGGTGGGTTTCAACCCTAAGCCCCACTCTAAACCCAAAATCTTTATTTGGATGAGCTTCGGTTGTGCAGATACAGCTTCAACCCCCTCAGTTCGAGGTTTTGGGTAAGGACTCCAGGGCAGGGTTTGGGCCCCAGGTTTCGGGTGTAGAGCTTGATGGTTCAGGATTCGGGTTTTATGGAGAAGCTCTGGAAAGCAGCCCGGCTTCGTAACATCAGCTTTAAACCCGTACAGGAGTCCCAAAATACAAAAACAGCTTCAAAACAAGCTGAACACCGCTCCAAAATAGGCAAAAAGACTACCAAAAATGATCCCTCAACCCTATTCTGTCGGAGGCGCCTGCCGGCCAAAGTGTCGGGCCTGGCACAGCCGGGCGAAATCCAGGCTCCTTGGCCTTGGGGGGCTTTACGGGTTTGGGTTTTGATGCCTAGGTACGAAAAAATGCGAAGCTAGCATGGTTTAGGGGTTTAGGGCTGAGCAGACCGAAAAACTCGGATTCACCGTAACGAGAAGCAGCTGCAATTCTTGGTTTGTATGTTCCCTCTCCATCTCCCTTTCCCTCTCCCTCCCGGGGGAGGGTTTGAATTCCAGACAGCAAGGTACCCTGAGAAGTAGGATCAGTTTGTTCAGGAGCCCCAGAAGACGGCACTTCTACCGTTAAGCAACTCGCCGCTTCGAGAATGATGGCCGTTGGGCCTGGGTTTAGGGTTGATGGTGAGGGTATAAAGGGTACTCCGATTCATGTCTACTGCCGCGAAGATGATTTTTAGTGTATAGGGCCATGATTGAAGTAGACTGTTAGAAGGCCCGGGTTCGAAAGAGGCATCTGTCGAGATTGGGGTTCAAGTGGCCTGTGTGTGTCGGATTTGGGATTTTCCTGGGTATCGAGGTCACGGGTCAACACTTATTTAATCTGATGTTCGACCCGCTGCGCTTAAGTTAGAGGTTTGAACAGTCGCTTGCTTTACAGTCCCTGTAAAACTATACTCGAGTACACACTCAAACTTTATCCTAGTTATTCCGGCCTATATCAAGTGCACCAGGCCCCCTTTTCATAGAGACTTTCGTGTCCATGCATCACAACCGTGATGATTGGGAACAGTTTGCAGATCTTTGCATGCCCCACACAAGTCCGACAGTTCACTAAACCCTGATGCCCGAGGCCCTATATCCGAATACCCTGCAGCCGAAGCTTCTAGCCTAAAGCGCTACAATCCTAAAGCCCTAAACCGAGCCCCGACTTGAAACAGCGTGGCAGGTTCCGGCGAAATACCGAAGCGAAGCTCCTGCGCCATGCAAGGCTCGAAGACGGAGGAAATTCAGGGCTTAGGGTTTAGGGTTGAGGTTACGCGGAGTTCAGCTTTGGGCATGTAGGGAACGTAGGGCTTGAGGTTCAGGCTTTAGGTTTGCAGTTTTGGTGTTCAGGGGTCCTGGGTTCCAGGTTGAGGAGGGTCTGGGGGTTCAGTTCTAGCATTCGAGGTTTAGTGCAGGATCTTGTCTAATGTTTTCTGGCTTGGGTGCAGGACGTGTAGGTGTAGGTGTTGTGCCTCAAGTGCGCCCCCGGGCCTAGCACTCTCTTTGGGGCGGGGGTTTCTTGTGGAAAGGTGTGGACCCCGGGCGGCGGCACTAAGGGCTCTTGCCCGATGAGCACCCCCTTTCCCCCCCTCCCCTGTGCTAGGGCGACAGTGCCCTCTAGTATTCTGGCTCAACTGTTGTTGCAACTGATCCGGCGATGCCGACGTCTCCACCCATCATGGGCCTGAGGACATTCCGTGTATATGTGAGGTATTCCACGCTCATCATATGCATTAGCAACTCCCTGGATTGCTACCTTTGTTATCGGCCTTGTTCCAGGGCTGCGCCTCTGTGCTGTTCATTGCCGCGGTGGTGTGCATGTTCATTTACTGTACCTGATTGGTGGCGTGCTCGCCCTCGGTGCTGGAACAGTGTTCCCTCGGCACATGGCGCACGCCTTTGGGTCGCCTTGTGTGTGCCCTCTGTGCATGGAGCCTCGCTCCCTCGGCACTGGCCGCACGGTTCGCCCCCTTTCAACTCTTTGCGTCTGCTGCCGGTTACTTGGTGTGTTCTTTGGTGCATACAAGCATAAGTATTATCGGTTGGTGACGTCTGGCTTGGCCTCCTGCCTGCTATATCCCTGATCAAGGACTATTCCTCTCCGATTCTTGGGTTTGAAACATGTATCTTAGTATTCTACACCGTGACCTGTCTGCACTAGCTAGTTTTTCCCCCACTTGAACTCTGGGACGGAGGGAGGCGATGACGCTTGCGGAGCCCCCCTGAGATGTTGAGAGGGACGTGGGAGGTAGGCCGCACCGTAAGTGCTGGTCGACACTCACTCACTCACTCACTCACTCACTGCGTCAAGTGCGACATGCGGACGTGGTGTCGTCTAGGTCAGGAAGAAGTAAAGAACATGGAAAAACAGAAGGGCGGGTGTCTATACTATACCCTAAGTGTTTAACTCCAACAGACACACCCAAAAATCCGAAACCCTAAACACTGAACCCCTAAATCCTACATTGGCATCTTGATCGTCTGACAAAAGTCAACACTGCGACAGGTCTTTGCGGACGCCTTCCCCGAGGATGTGGAGGTCGGGGATGCATGTTGAGACCGCTCGCTTGTGGTTTACAAGCTTCGTATCAGAAAGGGTTCCTGAGAGGTCCCTTTAAAGGGTTTTATACAGGATCCAGAAGGCTCAGAAGGCTCCAGGGTTCTAAGGTTTACACGCTACTTCAGGGATCAGCTGTTTTCGAGAAGGTGGCTATGGCTCAGCTCCAAAGTACCTTATTTTGGGGTCCTTATAATAAGGATCCTACTATTTAGTAATGGGGTAGTATATTAGGCTCTCGGGTCGAACTGTGACACTACAAGGAGCAAACTGCAACGCTGAAACTGTAAGCCTGCAGCCGGAAGCCACAGACCATAAATAAGCCGTATAAATCCCAAAGCCCCGATGCCAAGCCCCAAGATCAGAACCTCAAATCACGGTCGCAGGACCCACCGAAATCCCAAATCCTAAACCCTAAACGCCCTGCACTCTAACGCCCTATTCCCCAAAACCCCAAACGCTAAAAAACACAATAACCCTCAACACCCAAGCTCTAAAGCCCTCTCATCCTGGACCCTAAGCCCTATCCCTAAACCCTAAACCCTGAACCCATGCCTAGAACACTAACGGCCCAAGTTGTCACGAGGTTAGCTTGCCCTGTACCTCCTCGGCGCAGGACCGTCTGACTGTGCAGTTTCATGTCTGAGGGATCCCTGTTCCGCAGCTTTTGTGAATACTGCCTCAGGCTTGCTTTTGTTCCACAGGGTTTTTGCATCGCAATTATAATGATTTTCTTTTGTTTGTAGGGGTGTTCGAGAGACGTTGAGGGATCCTGGGGGTTTAGGGCACTCCAGTTTCCGCTTAGAGCCGTTCCTCGTTTTTGCAAGTTCACTGTTCGATCCTCGACACTGAATTGCTGCAAGCGCAGCAATGCCGCATTCTTCAGCATCAGTACTGCGACTCCGACTGCAGACTCAGCAAGGGCCGCATCGCAGTTGAGACCCTAAAGCACCCTCACCGCAGCTGTCGGAGTTCTTCGAAACCCGAAGCCCCAAGCCCTGGACCCAACTAGATCCAGTAGTAGTCCTCGAAGATGATACAAAGCCCTCAACCCTCAGCCCTAGACGCTGGTAAGATCTAATGGATGACGAGGCAAGCTCGCCCTCGCCGTTGCCCGTGGCCTAGCATCCAGGGCAGAAAGCTGAAGATGGGGTTTAGGGTTTAGGGGGGTTGTAATTGTTGGGCTAGGGTTTTGGGCCATGCCTAGTATGCTTATCTAGGGATTCTAAGCGGATCTAAGGGGATAATGGTCTTCAATTCCCTGTAGGACAGACCTGGATCAGTCTTTTGGGACAAGTTGTGGGTTTAGATTTTTTGTCTTCCAGAAGTCCGGAATCCCCACAGAGCAGCAAGCATCTTTTCAGGTGCCAAAACTATTTCCCCTGTGTTTCGGCCGACCCAAAAGACCCTAAACCCATACCTTCAGCTCCCGAAAGTACCTTAAACCCAAACTTTTCGATGACACACACACACAGATGTGTGGTGTATATATATATATATATGTATATGTATATATATATATATATATGTATATACTATATACGTATATATATATATATATATATATATGTATACAGATGTATATAGAAAGTATATATCCATTTACATTTTTACAAGCCGAACCCCCCTTCGCGGACAAGGTGAAAGTCGATCGCCTCATCATGGGATTTGCTTTGACCGCTAAGATGTTCCCATGGTTTTTCGCTTTTCGCTTGCCTGCGAAGGTTTTCTCATCTTAGACACTCTCTATGGACAAGGCGAAAATCGATGGGAGAAAGCTTCGTGTTCCTGTTGAGCTTTCGAAGCCCGAAGGCTCTGAAACACTCAAGCAACATCTAAACCTTAAACCCTTCAGCCCACTTCGGTGTTTATTTCAGGCGGGCGGCATCAGCGCCGGCGCCCCCATGGCCCCAGGCTCGGAGAAGGGAGTTAGCGACTTTGGGCGCAAGCATCTGGGTCCGGGTTTTGAGATCCTGGGGTTTGGGGTGACATGTGATTATCCTTGCTAAAGGACGGAGCTTATTAACCAGCAGACTACATTACGTATGTGTCTCGGGGTTTGAGGTGTAAGGGCTGATAAGGGCTGACATTTTCATTCGATACACACTGTTATGCTGGAGGAATCTGGAGCCTGGGTTATCAGCAGAGGGAGGAGCCTTCAAATTACTGCGAAGAAAGGGCTTGGGGCCAAGGATTGGGGGGACTCTCGAGCTGTCTGGGCCTCTACACCGATGCACGGAATAAGCACGGCGCACAAACGGTCCGTTGGTGGCCTAGGCCTAGGCCATGAGATTGGGTGGGAATGGCGTAGGGGTTTGAAGGTTTAAGGCAAGGTTTGGAACAAGACTTCTTTTCTTCAATGTGCCAGCTTTTTGCACCAAAACAGCAATTCGAGTGCTCCCCCACCATCTCTCTTGGAGTTTTCCGGTATGCCCAGAACGCCCCTGCGTCAGGAGGATGAGTTTCCGCCTCCGGCACGGCAGGTGCGCATGAACAACTGCAGGAAGTCTCGGCTCCATCTGCGAAGCAAGTCTCTGTTGATAGAGCCTCGATACAGGGCATATGTAAGGAAAGAAGTATTCCAACACTCGCCATGCCGAAGCAGAATGTTGAAAGGATATGGCCTCTTGTCGTTGACCTTGGACAGAGAACTGCGCACACACGCGACTATCACCTGGAAGGCAGTCATGGCCGGCAGAGGCCGTGGGCAGCGTCTTTTGGAGAGTCTTCAGTAATCCTATCTACAGGATCAACATTGCATCTACCTTGCGACAGCTATTTCTACCATTGTGCTTCCTAAGTCGCTATACCCCCGGAACCCTCAGACCTTACAAATCCTAGCCCCGAAGTGGTCAGAAACCCTGGACCCGAAGTCGTTGTAGACCCTAAACCCTTCTTGCGTATAAGCCCCGGACCCTCAGTCCCTATAAACCTTAATTGGAGGTTCATGGGTAGTCACTCGTGGAGATATAAGTAGGGATTTATGACTGCACTGAAAACAACCCGAGAACGTCTAGCTTGAAGCAGATCATCGGAAGGAGCCGGGCGGATGACACCCGAGCCGAGCATTTGCCTCGTTCAGGCAGGAGGATTTGCAAAGAGTTTTTTCCTCGTCCTCGGCCTTAAGGTTGGGTTTAAGAATTATGGCCAGTGCTGAGTCATCCTGGCAATCGGTACGCTTCCCGTTTTAAGCCCTCCTCGACTTGGCCGCCTTGCCTGATATATAAGGTTGGCTTGCGCTCGTACTCGTACATTACGAGTTACCACCATTATGAAAATCAGGTAGCGTGAGACGAGACAGGTCATGTCGTGTCGTATTGTGTCAGTTGCTGGTCTGATGAGAAAGATGATGACGATGATTACAATGGTGGTGTGATGCTCATGCGCAGCCGGGGCACAGATTTCGCTCGCCAGCGCTACCACAACCATATCCCACTGTCTAGTGCTCCAGTGTGCCATCGGCTCGTTTTGATGCACCTCCAAAAGTCGAAAGCTTCTGCCCCGAAGTCGTAAGAGCCACCCTCATGAGACTGGGAACGCATGGAGAAAACCGCAGGGAATACCATAAACCCCAACTCTAAATCCTACCATTACTAGTACTATCACTATTACTATTACTATTACCATTAGTAGTATTATTATTGTTACCATGATTATTATTACCATTTTTAAACCCAGAAGGCTATAAAAAAGGGGGCCACGCGCTGCCAGGGGTCGAATGGGACCCAAGGGGATCGTCCGCGCAGCCCACCTGCTGGGCCCCAGCTGGAGGCGGAACTCGCCTTTCTTAATTTGGGGAGTCGGGGGTTGCGTTTTTGGAGTTTAGAGTTTAGACTTTGGGCTTTTTTGTCGGGTTCAGAGTTCAGGGTTTGGGTTTTAGGGTTTAGGGTTTTAGGGTTTTCGGAGAAGAAGTAGCAGCAGCAGTCGTCCAGAGCTCCCAGCCGAGACCTAAACCCTAACCCTAAATCCTAAACTCTAAATTCCGAAGGCCTAAACTTCTAAACTACTTTTGTAAGATTTTGCAAATAAAATGGCCTTAATCTCAAACCTTTACCCCTAGTGTACTATGTAGGAACCCTAAACCCTACACCCCGCAACATAAAAGCTAAGCCCTAAATCACCAGAGCTCCGAGCTGCGAGGCTGCCGCAGATAGCCGGGAAGGCACCTTTTGGTTACTGCGGTTGATGATATAAATCCCTAGGGTTCCCTTTAAAGGGATCTATAGGGGTACCTTTTGAGGGCTTCCTTTAAGGGATCTACAGGGTTGAGGGTTTAGGGTTGATGATATAAACCCTGCATTACCTTAAGGGCCCCAAACTATGGAAATTATGGTATATTCCTTATCAAGGGTAATGCAGGATTTGTTTGATCATCAACAGTAGGGCTTTAAGGTGGCATTTTTTCTCTGTGTTTACCTTACAAAAACCAAACAAGAGGAATATTAGTGGGCTGCGGGGGAACCTAGTTTGTGTTTCGAACTTGGGGAGGTTCAGGGTTTAGCGTTTGGGTTTTAGAATTTCGGGCTTGAGGCTTTAGGGATTCCTGACTTGATATTTCTAAAAGAGCAGGTTTTTCAGGGTTTGTCCGAGGCTGAGGACGTCAAGAATATACTAGATGGGCGTGAGTATCAGAAAAGTGAGGGCAGCGGCGTATACTGGGGCCATGGAGGGAAGATGTTTCAATTCAAAACCGAAACCCGACCGTGTTCTCCTTCGACATGCCTTGAGCTCTTCCTTGGGGTCCTGGTGGTATGGGTTTAAGGGTTTGGGGTTTCGCGCTTGGGTGGAAAGGGTGTTGGTTTTCTTCCTGTTCCCAGGAGAGAGGCGGAGCAAACGACGGCATCGCCGGGAGGCTTCATCCCCGGGCAGCCATGAGAGAGTTGGGGTTTAAGGGTTCGGGGCTTAAGATTTAGGAGTTCAGGTTTGGGGTTTAGGTTCTAGGATTCAGGGTTTAGGGTCTGCGTGAAATTTTCTGAGGGTCCATGCCGGTGCCAAGAGCATGTCCTGCAGGGCAGCCGACGAAGCAGCCGGCCTGGGACCCAGGATTCGTGACTCCCAGGTTCAGCGCCCGAATCATTAGAGTAGAATTGTTGGGATGCATATATACATATATGTCACAGTATATATATATATATATGTACACACAGATGCACACATACACATATTATGTATATTAGTATATGTGTCTATCTGTATCTCCATCTAAATCTCGATATCTCTCTCTCTCTATCTCTATCTCTTTGCCTCTGTTGTTGTGTCATCTTTCGTAGAAACTTCACAAAGCATTCCCAAACAACGATCTTCAACTGGGAAGACTTGAAGAAGCTTTTGCAAACTTTACAAGTCCCACAGCAGACTCGCACAATGCAGCCTACCAAAAACAGGCGATATAAATTGGTCTCCACCAAAATGTAGAATTACGAATTATGATATGATAGTTTAAATATTTTACAAAGACAACCATTATGTGTACGTGAAAGTGACGATGAAGAAAAACTAACGGACATGTTGAGGCTGAGTGGTCATGCAGCGCCTGCTTTTAGTACAGCTGCAACGTCTATGGAAGTTGAAGTATCACAAATGCCCGAGAGTAGTTATATGCCACATGGAATGTATAAAAGAGGTAATCAATCGCAATCGATATTTGTTTCAATACTAGTTTGATTGATAAAGATGTAAAAAAACCAAAATCAAACATGTGTGAATCTTCAAATTCAATTAATCCTCCAAACAATATCATTACTTGTATATCCACCTAACAATATACATGTAGTTGTTTCTTTACATGAATGAAATTACTATATCTGTGTCTCTCCATCTTTCTATCTCTCCCTCTATCTGTCTATTTGTTTGTTTATTTACCTATTGATATTTTTTCAACCCGCAACACTGCCACCAGACTTTGGAAGGGCTAGACTGTAGACCTGCGTGGTAGTAGTGACACTGACGGCTTCGAAAGCAGGGGAACGAGTCGATGGATCTCGGACCTCAGAAAGATATAGCTATGGTATGCATGCGCCAACACCCGGGTCAAACGATTCCGGCACTTGATGCTAGCCATATCTCGCCTTCTTCTGAGCATGTGCTTGCCTGCCCAACTCAAAGCCGCTGGTTCCGTCTTGGGAAGGTCTTCACTGCCCGAGTTTGAGGGCGAAGGCAACGACAGGACCGAATCCTTAACCTCCGCGTCCCAAAGCGTAACGTAGGGGTCGGAACAACTGTAATCCTTCCCCTCCTATACCAGCACTGTCTAGGAAACCAAAGTCTTTGTATTATCAACAGGTGTAGTTGATTGCCACCCGGTCCATGTGTCAAATTTCATGGTTTAGGGGCTCAGGCGCTTAGGGGTTTAGGGGTTGATAGTTCAGGGCTTTCTTTGTTTGCTCGCCGTTTCCGATTTGTTGCAAGGAGACAAGCGCCGGTTAAATCGGAGATCTTACCCATCGCGGACCAGGCCTGAAACTCAGGGTTCAGAGCTCCCTTCGACAGGGTCTTTGAGTTTAGGATGTGGGGTTTTAAGGTTTAGAGTTTCGGCTTGAGGATTGAATATCGGCACTTCGCAACAGCGGTTCAGGATTCAGGGCTTAGGGCTTGACAGATGTCTTTTAAGGTGTTCGGAGGTCAGGGTGTTGCAAGAGGTCCTGTTTCTATGCCTGGAACCTGCAGTACAGGCCTGTACTTGGAGGTTCATTGGTAATTGTAAGTGGGCTTATAAGTCCCTTAAAATGGGTTCTGGTTATACTTTCCTTACTATGCATGACTACCCCTGAACCTCCAAGTAGACCCCAAACCCTAAACCCCATATTTATATTTATATATATATATATATATATATATATATATATAGAGTATTATGGGCCGCAAAATCCTATTCACATTATGGAGGCCCCTTGTACTAAATCCTTATAATCGCTCTTATAGGTAGCCCTTATATCAGCCTTTATGGTAGCCCTTTAACGGAACCCTGTTCTGCCCCTTCTTCCTTGTTTCTGAAGCTCCAAGGCCCCCAAACCCAAGAGCATCGGAACCCGAAGATCCCAAACGCCGTAGGTTGACGTCATGGATCCTATACTTTTCGAAGCCTACTTGGAGGTTCAGGGGTCGCTTTTAGTGGGGTTGAGAGGTAAGGGTTTACTGTTTCGGGTTTGGAGTTCAGGGTTAAGGGTTTAGGGTTTAAGAACCGGAGAAAGAGCCGGGACATGGTGGCAAAGCTCCAGCAGGGTGGTCGTGGTTCCGCGAGGGATGGTGACGGAAGGTCTGTTTGCCGAGATATGAACGCTGCGGAAGCATCCTTGAAAGACCTGGAACCCTCAAAATATCCCAGACTGCAAAGCCCAACGCCCAAAACTCTGCAGTCCTAAACCAGAAACAGTGGAGCCTGACATCCTGCTGAAAGGACTAAGGTAGCGATACTGACGATCACCTGTAGCTCCACTCAATACGCCTCCCTTACAAGGTCTTCTGATCCTCCAAGCGCCCTTTCCACCCTAAACCCCTAACCCCTAAACCCCAATACCCAAACCCTAAACCCTAAACCCTTAAACCCTAAACCCTAAACCCCTAACCCCTAAACCCCCAAACCCTTTTTCACTACGAGGCTGACGGCAGTTCCCTCGCGGCCTCCCCGCCGCTCTCGCGCAGGCCGAGTACCGAAGCCGAGGCCTGCTCAACTTTTAAATGCTCTTGTAGTCGTTCTGTAGTTGTAGGCTTTTAGAGGTTTAGGGTTTAGGGTTTTCTTCGGGTAGTCGTTCTGTAGTTGTAGGGTTTTAGAGGTTTTGAGTTTAGGGTTTTAGGGCTTGGGCGTGGGGTTTAGAGTCTGAGGTCCAGGTTCAGGGGCGGTTTTCGTAAAGTTGTTTGAGGCTTTTTTTGGGTCATAGTTCCTGTTGTCGGGGTTTCCAACAGATGAATTTTGCGACTGGAGCCTGAGAGCAGTACAGAGTACAATCACGTAGAAGGTATAGGGTTTAGGGTTTAGGGGTTTAGGGTTTAGGGTTTAGAGCTTGGGGTTTTGGGGTTTAGGGCTTAGGGTTTAGGGTTTTGGGGTTTAGGGTTTAGGGTTTAGGGTATAGGGTTTTGGGGTTTAGGGTTTAGGGTTAAGGGTTTTCATGCATGTGCACGCTCCTATGTACGCTTCTGTTTTGCTATATGCTGTGCTTTTGCGTGCCTAGCGCTTACATCAACTGGTAGCTTAGGGTTTTTGTCTTCAGGGTCCGTAAGCTATAGATTGGCTATTGTATGCAGGCTCCTGTAGTTCTTGGGGGCTTGGGGTCATAAGTCTAGGCGGAAGGAGCCCCCCACGCTCATGCTTGTCTCGCACATGTCGTTTACTGCACGGCCAGTCACTAAGGCCAGCAAGCGCAGTGCAACACCCCACCTGATGTGCCAAAGCTTTCGGGCCGTTGACACGGACCCGAAACCCCAATGTGAACTTAGCCTCTTTGAAGCCTCCTCCGACTGCAGACCGTCGATGGGCGCGCCTCCGACCGTTTCGTGGCTTCTGTATTCTTCTCCTTTTTCGGTTGTGAGCCTTCCTCTTCTAGGTGGCTTTTAGAGCCGTGTGTGAAGGAGTTGGTGAGTCTTAACAGGGCTTGGTGTGGACTGCAGGGGCCATTTGGAGGACTGAGGAAAGCCATCGACGGATGTCCTTGCGTTTGATTTGAGAGTGTAGGGCGCAGGATGCAAGGTCCAAAGCACTTCGGGGGGGTCAGGGGCCGGTCAGGTTTGCAGCAGATTGAAGATGCTGCTGCTGCTGCTGCTGCTGCTGCTGCTGCCGCTGACAGTGCCCACGACGCTGATGTCGATGATAATAGTGATGGTGACGATGATCGTTCCCGCCATCTAGTACCAGTGTGAACCTTCAACCACCCTAAGCCCAGAAAGCCCGAAGCCCTTAAAGCTGAAACTCCACCTGTAGCCCACGGATGCCTCACTCGACCTCCACGCCCAACTGTTCAAAAAGATATCGAAGGAAATCGTAGGAAGGAGTGTATATATCCATGTCTGACTTTTGGGCTCGCAGTCTTGCCCTTACTACGGCGCCGGGCTTCCAGGCTCGCACCGGCGCTCCCGCAGGCGTCAGGCACTTTCAGGGGTGAAAGCAGGTTTAAACGCCAGAACTAGAACTCGATTCGGGGCAGATGGGGCGACAGGCTAAACGCCCTTTCCGCAATGCATTTCTGGTTGATGCCTGGAGCAAAGGGTGGAAAAGGGGTGCAAACCAAAAACGAAAAAACCCTAAACTTTAGAATTTGCGGCTTTACTGTAGGGCTTGAGGCCTTGGCGTTTGCAGTGTTCGGTTTTGTTGATGTTCGGAGGGGATGGGCTATGCATCTACAGCAGTGTTTGCTTCGTGTCCGGTCCGTGCGGTTTGGGGGTTCCCTCTTGTCTGGATTTTCAGTCAGAAGGTTTCACACTTCTTGTGTTTGGGGGTCTGGATCATGTAGCGGGTCAGTCAGTACCCGCAAACCCTCTCATCTTGAACATGGGTACAGCCTACACTCCAGGCCCCTTCCCCCGACACTCGCAAGCATCTGGCGAGGAGTCGGACGAGCTGAGCCAGGGTGTTTCAGAGAGATCTGAAAGATCCGAGCGACGGCGGCGTCGACGCCAGGACCTGCAGCAAATAGGGTACGGGGGTGTCGGGATTCGCGCCGTCGGGGTGCTCGGGGTGCCATGAAAGCTCACTGTTCCATCCTTGCAGTAAGCAAAGGTGTGGGGTCTGCCCGTTGAGTGGCATCTTGGGCCCTTTTAGGCTTCTTTCTACACAACATACGGGCACATGTCTATGTGGGTGGTTGTCAAAATTTTGGTCCCTTTTTGGGTACCCTAAATATCCGGTGCCGTACTATATTCTAATTTTGATAGCCACCCATGTGGAGAGACCTCTCAACCGTTGGAACCAAGATATTTGCTGCTCTTGTTGTTGCGGTGGAGAAGATGGTATCTGGAGCTGCCTGAACGACCATTTGCCACAGCGGTCTCAGAAAGTCAAGATGAATCCACCCATTCGTTGAGTTGATTTTTGTAGGTTTGGAGACTTCTGAGACCTTCTCCCAAAGCAAACGACGCCGAAATTCGGGATCCCATCTGCGTGCAAATGTACTGCCAAGCTTCCGGTGTTTAATTTTTTTTGCCCCTTTTGTGCTCGCAGCCTGTTTGAAGATCAAGTTGTGGAGATACCGTTGTCTCACGAGAAGAACGACAGGCTCATGCGCCCAAGAGTCCTAATCCCTAAACCCTAAACCCCTAAACCCTAAACCCTAAACCCCTAAACCCTAAACCCTAAACCCCTAAACCCCTAAACCCTAGAGGCCCTAGAGTACCGGCAAAGCCTCCGGACTCCAGATCGGTGCCCAGCTGCATCCCTGAAACTCCCACGGTGGACCCAGCCTCCAACTCCAAGGACTCTAAGCCCCGATTGATCCTGAACCGCGTGCAGGAGGATGAGGAGACGAATGCCACCTCTGAGCCTTGGGCGAAAGCAGATTAGGCTTTCTCCGGGTTTCGCGGTCCGGGTAGAGGGCTTAGGGTTTGTGAGGCGCTGGATTTCTGATCAGGGTTTGCATGTGTTCGGGGGCCTAGGTGCAGGTGGAGTTCGCGTTTGGCGCCGTTCGATTAGGGTGGCTCAGATGTCGGATGTAAACCCCCGGTTCATGTCCACCCCTCCCTGGTGGCCCATTGTTCTGTTGCTGGTAGATAAGCGGTTTATTTCTCAGTGGTGTGCTGTAGGAGTCTACCATCGGGGTCTGAAGAGTCAGCCTCAATACTCCGTCATAGTCCCTACCTCATTTGGGAGATTCCGAAAACTAGGGGTACCTAATTTTGGGGCCCTTATAATAAGGATCATACTATATTAGGTTCCCCTATTTTCGGAAACTCCCATTTTAAGTCCCCAAAAGGCGTTGTCGAAGCATCAAAGGCCTGGCCTGGCCTTACGATAGTTTGCTGGTCGGCTGCTTCTCACGTGCCTATCGGGTCCCGAACAGGAACCCTCAAACCCTAAAGCCCAAAACCCCTTTGCCCAAAACCCAAGACCCGAACCCTCAACCCAAAACCCAAAACCCTCAATTCAAAGCCCTAAACCAAACCTTAAAAATCCTTGCACCTGAGGAGTCACGAAGAAGCCACAGGAGCCGCATTTTGCAGAGTCATGACCTTTTTTTCGTCTGTGTGAACTGTCCTCCCTGTCGTTTTGCGTTCGAGGCAGCTCTACTGTGTGGTACTTGTAGATGTGTCTCTCTGTCTTTCATTTTCTCTCGCTACAGTTTCTGCCCCGTTTCTGCCCCAACACCCTAAACTGCCCTAAACCCTTAAACCCTTAACCCCTAAACTTCTCTTTGGTCTCTCCGGCTCGGTCCTCGCTGGACTTCCGCAGATTGCGAAACAAGCTTCAGGAGCCGTCGGCGACGCGGAGAGGTGGCGTGGCAGAAAGGGTGGGTGTAGGTGATTTATCCTAGGCTGTCAAGCCGTAACTGACCCCGGATATTGCCAAACTGGTGAACATCCGACTAGCAAGGGTGGTGGGATAAATGATCTACGTAGATGCGTCTGCCAGTCTG